GCAGTCTGGCTGGGCACAATCAGGAGCCACTTGTCAAAAGAAACTAACTTTATTTTTAGAACCACACACACCAAACAAAACAGCCTCTCAGGAAAAACCCTCAGAGCCTCAACTGCCACCACCAGCTTTCCACAAGCCTCTCTCTCCCACACAAGCTTCTCCCCACCTCCCACAATCCTCCTGCTCTTGAGGCCGATTGGCTGGGTCACGTGGGCGGAGCCAAAAAAGTCCCCCAATGAGCAGCTCCGTGGTCTGAAAGGGCAGGGAAACAGCCCAATGAGCATCACCGCAGAGGAGCCAATCAGCTAGATGTTGCTGGGGCCGAGGAGCCAATCAGCTAGATGTTGCTGGGGCCGCTGTGAGCCAATCATCAGCCGGCAGCTGGAAGTTTGCTGGCAGCTGGAAGTTTGCTGGGGCCCCTTCGGCTGTGGCTCTCAACAATATTATTTTGGTTTTCCTGAGTCTTTTGAATGCCTATGAATTTTAGGATCAGATTGTCAACATCTGCAAAGAACCCAGATTTGATTTTTGGTAGGGATGAACTTGAATCTGCAGATCAGTCTGGGAAGTACTGCCATGTTAAAAACATGGCCTTCCCGCCATGCATATGGGATGTCTCTTCTTTCCACAACTTCCTCTGCTCTTTGGCTTATGCCACTCACTACTGCATCTAACACCCTTTCCAATAAAGTCTCAGTTCTGTGACTAGGATCAAGCATTTTGTTATAGTCCCAGCAGCATGCCTCTGGCTATGGAAACATTAAAGAGTTGGTGAAGACTGTTAATCTAAGAACATCTCAGAGCAATTCCAACATTAAGAATAAAGTCACGGGGCTAGTGTGGTGGCTCAGTGGTAGAGCGCTTGCATAGCATGTATGAGACACTGGGTTCGATCCTCAGCACAACATAGATAAGTAAGTAAATAAATAAATAAATAAAGGTATTGTGCCCATCTACAACTAACAAAATACTTTAAAAAAAGAATAAAGTTATAACTAGAGATACATAACAAAAATTCCAAGAAGTACATAGAAAATACTAGCCTCTAGAAGCTAGAATAACAAAATTAATATCAGAAAAATAGAGTTTAAGTCAGAAAGCATTAAAAAGAACAAGAAAGGATATTTCATAACAATAAACATAATCTATCAAGAATATATACTGGTCATAAATAGTACCTACCATAGTATATGAAGGAAAAACTGACAGAATTACAGGAGAAATTCACAAGTAAGAGATTTTTAATATACCTCTTTCTCTGCACCAAAAGAAAAGTAGCTACATACAATATTTAAAAAATATATTTAGATAAATAGGCTTTTATTGCATAAAAATTATACCAAATTTCAAAGGCTTTAAACAGTGGCCATTTATTTTCTATAAAAGATGCAATTTAAATATAAAAACCTTAGATAGTTTAGAAGAAAAAAAGAAAGATATGACATAAAAAATGTTTAACATAGGAAAAAAAATAAATTTACAAAGGATATTACCAAAAATAGATATATTTTAGTAATGCCAAAATAATTAATTCCATTTAAAAAGACATGTACGTCTGTATGCAGATATTAAAAGAGCTTCAAAATTCACAAAGAAAAATCCCATGCAACTAAATATGAAAAAAGTAAAAGCAAACTAAAGAACAAGAGAGGTATTCACAACACATATTTTCTCTTAAAAGACTTGTATCTACAGTAGTCTGAGGCAAGAGGATTGCAAGTTCAAGGGCAGCCTAGGCAGCTTAGAGAGACCCCCATCTCAAACTAAAAAATATAAAGGGATCAGGAAGTAGGTCAGTGGTAGAACATCCCTGGATTTAATCCCTAGTGCCAAAAAAGAAAAAAAAAAAAAACCTTATAACCAGACCAAATAAGAATTTTTCTAACTCAATCCAGTAATATATAGACAAGAGAACTGAATACATATATTACAAAATAAGATGTATAAATGGCCAATAACCACATGAAAAATTGTTCAACATAAGTAGTCATCAAGGAAATGAAAATTGAAGCCATCAGTTATACAAATTATACAAATACTTATCCTATTGCATAATTTAAAATTATACAGTTACTTAAACTATTGTTATTTACTCAATCGAATTAAAACCTAGATCCACCAAAAACTTACATGAGTTATTTAATAACACACAACAGGAAACAACTCAAATGTTCCTCAATAGGAGAATGAATAAACAAATTGCCCTAAGATCATACAGGTGAATGATACTGAACAGTAAAAATTAAAAAGCGTTGATATGCAAAACAGCATGGCTGAGTCTTATAAATATTGTGTTTAACAAAAGAAGTCAATGCAAAAATAATCCTTGTATGATTCCAAATGTGTAAAATTCTAGAACAGGCAAAATAATTTATGACTATAAAAATAACACCAGTGATTTCCTGGAGAGTGAGGCAGGTCACACTGATTGCAAAGGGATATGAAGGAACTTCGTAGGTTAATGGAAATAAATATATTTTGATTGTTGTAGTAGTTACATGGGTGTGTATATTTTCTAAGAGTCAATGACTGGGGCTGGGGATGTGGCTCAAGCGGTAGCGCGCTCGCCTGGCATGCGTGCGGCCCGGATTCGATCCTCAGCACCACAAACAAACAAAGATGTTGTGTCCGCTGAAAACTAAAAAATAAATATTAAAATTTAAAAAAAAAAAAGAGTCAATGACTGGTGTACCTAAAATCTGCATATTTTATTGTGCATAAATTATATCTCAAATTTTTGCATTTTAAAAAGATAGTGAATTATAAAACAGAAAAACTTCCTGACTGATAAATAAGTAAAAAAGATATACTTGAAATAGAAAGCAGCAAAACTCAAATTATTAGATAACCTAATCAAAAACAAAGGGAGACAGCAGGAATATGCAATAAATAAGTAAATACATAAGTAAATAAATAAATAATGAAAAGCAGACTATGATCATTGAAGTAAGAAAACATTTTTTATATCATGAGGCAACTTTTCACAAATCTATGCCAATAAACTTTAAAACCTAGATGACATGAATTATTTTCTAGGAAAGTACAATTTTCTAAATTGACCCCAATGAACATAGAAAGTTTACAGTTTTCAAATTCTTTAAAAGAAATAGAGAAAATTATCAGAAGAAAGCCCACCAAAGAAGACAAAAGTAGCTGGTTTCATTGAATACTACTAAATGTTCAGAGACAGGGTAATCTCAAGCATACCTTAGAAACGCTCCTGCATAAATCTGAAAAGTTGACACAAAAAAGAGAACCTATGGACCAATCTCAGTTGAGAGAACATGTCCATTTGCATTTTTAAGTGGGGATGTAAAAACCCTGGGAAGCAGGACTGGTAGAGGCCAGAGTGGACCAGATCCCCTTAATTTAAATATCACCTCACCTCAGTAGCCAGTGCAGGTCAGGTTAGTAAGGTCAGGAGCTTTGCAAAAGTCAGGTGGGTCTCCATCTAGAAGCCATTTACTTTCCTCTTCCTCTTACCAAATGAAAAAGAAACTCTCCCTGGAAAAGCTAGTGTCTGTCAATGCCACTTGGAAGGAATCCTGAATGAGTCATGTGAAACTCATTTGGGACCACAGCAAACCCCTGCATGTGAGCCCATCCCCAGAGATGATCAGCAAGCCCCTCATCTGTGAAGGCAGGGGATGAAGGAAATGGTGAGATGGGTAGAGAGCTACAGTCTCCTTCCCAGGGTTACTTCTTGGCCTTCCTTTCCCAGAAGCTCCCTTTTATCTATGTTGCAGAATCCAGCACACTCAGGAAGCCTGGCTAACGGCACATCTACAGCAAAACACCAGTTCTTCCTGATACTTGTACCACTGTCAAGGGCACCAAAGAAATTGATTTATTCCATAGAACTTTGCTTTGGAGTCCCCAAACCAAGCAAATGGAACTTGATTCCATGGATCCCACATAATTTGTTCCTTGCTGTTGTGACACTCCCTGTGCCCCAGGACAGAGCAGCTCCTCATACCTGGGGTGTGCAAGGCCCTTCTGAACCAGCATCTTCCCACCCTTCATTGTGACATGAGAAAACCCAATTCTCCTCTAACTCCTCCATTCTTAAGGTCCATACTGAATGTCTTACTTAGGATGGCATTTTTTTCTTCAGATGTGTTAATACTGCCACTTAGCCAGTCCAAGTGTTGCTGAACCCTTTCTGCTCTTGATGCAATCACACCATCATCATCATCATCGTCATCATCTTTATCACCATCACCATCACTATTGTCACCACCATCACCATCACATCACCACCACCATCACCGACCACCACCATCGTCACCATCACCATCATCACATCACCACCACCATCACCACCACATCACCATCACCATCATCACTACCATCACCATCACCACCACCATCACCACCACCATCACCACCACCATCACCACCACCATCACCATCTCTATGATTTGTTGAAGCACTATGTTGTGTACTGTACGTATAGTGTCTCATAACAAATAATATTTTATATAATACAATGGTCCTGGGAGGTAAGTCATATCTCTTGAGTGGGAGATGGAGAAGCCATCACACAAAGTGGAAAGAATTTGTTGAAGACCACACAGGTTGCTAGGGCAGAGGTGAGCTATAAATCCAAATACATTTGGCCCAAACTTTCATGGACTTACCTGCACCCTATACTATCTTTGTATAAACTTAACCCATCCTAGAGATCAACTCTTTTGAGTTTGGGGTTCTCTACGTTTGCACCATCCCTACCTACTCCAAAGCCAGGTAGCAATGCCCACATCTAAGCTAGGAAGTGATTCCCAGCAACTGGCAAGGCCCAAGTCCCAGCAATACTGTAGTGTTGACACAGTGTCCAAGGTCACCTGATGTCATGGAGCAGTATAATGCCAGGTGTGGGTCTTGTTTGTGCTCAAGTACTGATTTTCCAATGGTTGTCTTTTGCACCAGGAAAAAGCAAATGTGTTGGTCCCCGTTCCATCTTCACCCCATTTACTTGGTGTTTCTTTTTTTCCTCCAAGTGCATTGCCCGACAAACGAGCTTCTGACAGACTCCACGGGTGTGATCCTGAGCCAGAGCTACCCTGGAAGCTACCCCCAGTTCCAGACCTGCTCTTGGCTGGTGAGAGTGGAGCCCGAGTACAACATCTCCCTCACGGTGGAATACTTCCTCAGTGAGAAGCAGTATGATGAGTTTGAGATCTTCGACGGTGAGTCAGGCCAATGCCGTGTACCTCTCTACTACAGAAGGCTTCAGGTCTCTGAGAGTCTGTGCTGCAGTTTTCCTGGCCCCACGTGCTATCTTGCTCTACACAGAAACCCAAGACTCTGGGATCTGATGGGCTGTGTGGCTGCTGGACCTGTTACAGAGCCCCTTCCTACTCTAGTCCCCACTCAAAGCAAGCACACTTGACTGTCAGCCAGTAAATTGGGTCATTCAATACCTTACTCCCAGGTAAAGACCTTGCTGCTTCCAAAACACAAAGAAGTCTACACTGAACTGCTTCTTTGGTCATGGGAGGGGAAAGGTGCAGTCATTTGCTCTTCTTATCCCAGAAGGAATAATATCTCAGCAAGCCCCAAACCACTGCACCCTCAAAATTTCACTGCAGACCTTTTAGGATTTATATCTTACTCTGTGGAGCATGAGTCTTGCAAAGGCATCTCCACTAATTGTCACTAATGCCTCATCAGATCCGATTAATATGATGCCCTCAATATAGTGAACCAATATGCTAAATTCTACAGGATGTCCAGATGGCCCCCAGTCCTTCATACTCTATTTTGACGAAATGCAGGAGAATTAATACTGCTGCCTGCTTCATGTGGATACAGGTTGATTCTGATCCTCCTTTCTGATGGGTATAGAAAAGAACGCATTGCCAGATCCATGTAACCAAGACTATGTTAATCTGCTCTGACGAAGATACAACATCTGGCACAGCTGTTCCAACTAGGTTACTCCTTGGTTATGTTTAGACTGTGAGGTAGAACTGGGCCAGGACTCCATTTATTACCAACTTCAATCTAAATAGTACAGTCATGATAGGCTCTGAATCTTCAGGAATCAGCCTCATTCACACCTTGTATCCAAAGACTTTAAGATATTTAGACATTCTCATTTCTACAATATTCAGTTATTGGAGTATACAGTGGTAGGGCTTTGTGGGGAAGGAATAGAGAAATAACTATTGTATACAATTGGCACTATTTTGCAGGGTCCTTTTTCATAGGGACTCAGTTTCTCCTTTAGCAGAAATGTTCTGGAATGGGAGATGCAACCTGGCCTGGTGGTCTGCAAACTGTACAAGGGATTGAGAATGTCCAATGTGGGCAGCTTTCCTTGCCCACTGGTTATCTAGTCATCATCTGCTTTGCTCATACATCTCTATCCTTTTTTGGCTGCCCATTGTCTTGCCCTTAGGAATCCCATGTTTTATGGGCCATCTCCATAGACCCTCTGATCAGACCCTCCCAAGGCCATTCTAACCTTGGTACTCATTTTAGTAATTTCTCCAACTTTGCTTCAGGCTGTTCACTGATCCCACTTGGCCTATATATCCTAGGATTTCTGCACCAGTCACGGTAGAGAGAGGGGGTCTTATAAGTTAGACTACAGAAGCAGTGATGTTAGCTTGCTTAGCTTGCTTTGTTCCCCATATGACCAGCATCCAAAGAAGCAGCTGTCCTGGGGTACATACAAAAAAAGCAGCTTTCTACACCTAACACTAACTTGTCCCCATTCCCAAACATTCATGAGAGAAATTCTGTGTCCTTCAAGTTGCCACTATCTAGACATCCGGGCCTGGGGCCTGCTCTCTGTGATCCCTTGACTTTGCCAAGTTCATAGGAAGTTAAAGTGGTGTTCCAGGGACATGGTGTCGTACTGTCCTCCTTTTCCTTAAGGATATTGCAGCCTATAATCATGTGTCCTTCTCAACCTAGGTCCCTCAGGACAAAGTCCTCTGCTGAAAGCCCTCAGTGGGAATTACTCTGCTCCTCTGATTGTCACCAGCTCAAGCAACTCTGTGTACCTGCGCTGGTCATCTGACCACGCCTACAATCGAAAGGGCTTTAAGATTCGGTATTCAGGTGAGTAACCCATCAGGGCTCCTGAGAAAGACCAGGGCCTCTGAGCCCCTTCAGTCATTCACCCAAAACACCCAAATAAGCTGGGATCCAGCTCCTCAACAAGGTGGTGGGTACCTCATGGGGACTGGGCAGCCTCTCCCTGTCTAAATCTCCCCCACCGGGGAGTGGCACAGAGGCAGAATCCTGTTGCCTCTTTCTCTAGTCCTTGCCCCACTTTCAGTCTCTTCCCGTCTTCTCATAGTGCCAGCCTGTATCTCTAGGATAAGTTAGGGCTCAGTTCCTGCCAGCTATCATACCAGAGCCCATGATGCCCTTGCCCACTCCTGTCCCCCCTTTAAAAGCCTCCCTTTAGAAATTTAGGAAACATTAGTAAAATTCTCAACCAAAAACCCTACAATGGATCTCTCTCTGGTAAAGGTCACACAAGCAGCAAGAACGGGCTGTATTCCGAGGCCAGGAGCGTCTCCTCTGCTCTGCAAGCCCCGTCTTTTTGATTCCTATTGCTTTTTTATTTTTTATTTTTTTAGTCAACACATAAACCTTTACGTATCTATGGGTACAGTGAGACATAGATATATCTGTATATGTATATTACGTATATGCCACACTGTACCCCTAGATGTGTAAAAGTATATAGTAATCACACTAGGGTAGTTAGCAAGTCTGTCACTCGAAACGTCTACCACTTATGTTGAAAATAATTAAAAACCTTTATCTCGCTATTTTGAAATATACAATTTATTTTTGACGAGGGTCACCCTACTGTGTTGCTGAGCACTATAGGATTTATTCCTCTTGTCTAATTGTATTTCTGTACCTGAGAACCGACCTCTTTCTGTCCCCTCTGCCGGCTCTCCTTCCCAGGCTCTGGCAACCCCTATTCTACTCTCTATCTCTGTGAAATCAGCCTTTTTAGCTTGTTCATATGAGTGGGAACATGCAGTACTGTCTCTCTGTACCTGGCTTATTTCACTTAACAGAATGTCCTCCAGTTCCATCCACATGGCCCCAGGTGGCAGGGTTTCATTCTCTTTTATGACAAGCCACATCTTATAGGCAGAGTCAGATCAAAGGCCAAGCCACACAAACAGCTGATTCAGGAACACAGAACTATCCCTGGGCATGTAATGAGATGGAGAAAACCAAATCTACCCACACTGCCATTACTGACTTGTTGGAAGAGAACTTGCCAAGCTGCTTGATACCCACTCGGAAGGGTGGTGGGCCCCCTGACTGCTGGCTGGGCCCAGCAAGCTTGGAGGGGGGAATTGAATTACTTAAGGCCATGGGGAATTCCACCATGCCCAGTGCCCCTCAGCATACTCCAAACAAGTGTGGGACACATTTCTGAAGTATATTGTTAGGGAGGGACATCAAATTCTCAAGTTCTGCCTTTGGTATTACTTGTCTTTCTTGATTCATGTCTTGCTTGGGCCTCCTACTTACAAGACCAGCCCAAACTTAGAGGGCCCACTAGAGCAGTTCTAAAGAACCCTGGAGTATGGCCTCCAGGGAGAGACAACCAGATAAAGCTGCAGGGAGCCTGGGAGGAGATAGATCTTTACTACCTCGGGGTCCAGTTTCCACGTTCTCTCCTTTCCCTGATGTACACCCTGGGGTGGGGAATCATGACCACCCCAGGATCAGCCACCAGCTCTATTTACAGTCTAGCTCTAGGATTATTTACGAAGGCACTGAACTGCTTCCGGCCTCAGTTTCCTCTTGATGAAAAAGAAACCTCTAGGTGCCTCTCAGGGAAGAACGAGACTCAGTTCTCTCCAGGCCTATGACTTGGGACAGTTCAGCTACTCAGTCTAAAGGGAAATCAGCATTTCCTACCTTTGTTGATAAATTGGGAACTAAAAACTATTAAGGAGTTGCCCTATTCTTGATGTTCAGAGACTCATCCGTTTGGGAGCAGTGATCCAGGTGTACATACAGCAGATATGCCACCTAGAAAGGGGGCTGATTACATTTGCAACAACAATTAGTACTTAATAATTACAATATAGTAGATATGTTTAATTTGCATGTGTCTTTCACTGTGACTAAGTGTATTTTATAACATGTCCCTGAGTGAGGGGGACTCATAGATACAATATATGCAAGACAGAAGGGACAAAGAGAGGAAGGACACTCATGATATGGTGTGGAGATATTTAAACCACCAGTTCTGTTCACAGAGGAGTGTGATCCCAGACAAGAAGAGGCCAGAGACTGGTGCCCTCTTCCCTCATCCCTGTTGGCCTGGGAGACCCAACCAAGGACTCCTCAGGCAAACAAAGGGGCACATGCCACTTGTCCTGAAGTCATCCCTCTTTCACAGCCTCCCGGGATGGGCCTGCAGGTCCCTGGCAGGGCTTGTCATGTGAGTTTTCAGGCTGGGATGCTTTCCTGTTTCTTTCACTGCTGTCTCCTGCCACTTAGAACAGACGTTGGCATGCAAATGGACATGCTGAATCTTTATGTTGGACAAATGGATAAAACACTGAAGCCATATGTCGAGGGGACATGTCGGGGAATTTATGTCCTGGATTCCCGGGTCCCCTACATAGCAGAAAAAAAAAGGAGAGCAATCATTAATGGAGCACTCAGCGCCCTGCACTGTGCTGGCAGCTTTATATACATGGTGTTTTTTAAATTGTCCACAGACCTGAGGTGGATATGTGTAGATCCCAACTTCCAGGGGAGGACACTAGTGCTAAACAAGTTTCAGTGGTTTGTCCCAAGTCACGGGCTTGGAGAGGTTAGAAACTGAGGCCCTGCAGTCTCACCTTTCAGGAGCCAATCTCACTGGGTTGCACTTTCCAAGGATGCCAGGGAACCTGATCCGGGCCATGCATCCAGGGCTGCCCTCAGGCCTCAAAGAGGACCCAGTTCTTCATGGAGCAGTTTTTTAAATTCTCCTTTATTCTGCTTTTGCTTTTAAACTGGCTTTTTTCTTTTTCCCAATATCAACCACTCAGACCTTCCTAAATAGCAGAGGACACGACACGGCAGTGGCCAAGATAAAGAAACGGGGGACGGGGGTGGGGGGGGGAGAAGGGGTAGGGGCCAGCATGAGAGACCACCTGTGCTCCTGCTCACACCTGGTTCCCTGAGCCACATCTTGTTGTTCAGCCCCTTACTGCAGCCTGCCCAGGGCTCCACTCCACGGCTTCATTCTGGGCCAGACCACCACCCAGCCCGGCGGCTCCATCCACTTTGGCTGCAACACAGGATACCGCTTGGTGGGACACAGCATGGCCATTTGTACCCGGCACCCCCAGGGGTACCACCTGTGGAGCGAGGCCATTCCTCTCTGTCAAGGTGAGAAGCAGGTGGGAAGCAAGTCACAAAGCGACTGGGATCTAACTCAACTCTTGGCTTCTGTCAAAATGAGTCACTTCCACATGCAGGTTTCCCAGGGGTTTGATAATGAATTCATTAATCTAGCAAATATTTACCAAGCACCCATAATACCTTCAGCCCTGGGATGACATATGCATAGCAGTCTCTGTTTTCAGAGCCATGGGGGAGATGGATATGTGAGCACATAAATGCAGAGTGACAGAGTAAGAACGGATCCACCCATTAGACAGTGAGGGAAGGCTCCCAGAGGAGGGGAGGAGGGGAGCGAGTGAGTTGATCAGACACTTGAAATGTACAGACTACCCTTTAGCTTGCAGGCAGTATCTTTTAGACTTCACTTTTGACCCCTGGAGGAATATACATTTAGACTAGGAATTTGGCGGGGCGGGGGGGGGGGGGGAATACAACTACAAATAGTGCAAAAAAAAAAAAGCAATAATGAACAATAATTCTATCACAGGAAATTGCTACTGCTAACATTTCAGCTCGTTTCCTTTGGTTTTCTATAGATTGATTGCAAAAATAGGATCGTCAGTGTATAAAACTTTTAATATCTTATCAATACCTTTCAAATAATTCAAATAACTTCCTCATTATTATTTTTGGTGGTTGCATAGCATTATGGGAAAACTGATGTGTAATCAAGTATAGTTCTACTCTGGGTCATTTGGAGTCCATACTTTTTGCTACCCAAAACTTTTAACTCCATCTTATGAACATCCATGTTTATTTCATCAAAATAAATGCCCAGAAATGAGACTGTTGAATCACAAAATATGCAAAATTAATAGCTTTTGATAAAAGCCTTTTACAAATGTTGTCCTCATTTACACTTCTACCGGCGGCACATGGAGATTGTCTTTTATCCCACAATCTCAACAATATGTACTGCATTTCAAAAAGAAGAGGAAAACTTTGTCCTTTATATAGACAAGAAGAGGAAATTATGCTGCTGTTAGATTTTATTTTTCTTTGCTTCCCAGTGTGGTGAAGTGCTTTTAGTGATATTCATCATTGCTGATCCTTACAACCTACTGGTCTGAGCCTGCTCTTTCCCAAAGAGAAGAAATAGTGTGTTGTTAATATTCTACTGTAAGCCCTAAGCAAAGGTCACAAAGAACTGACTGTCCACAAGTGGCAAATATTATCTGGCTTCAGTTTGTGTCTTTAATCACATCAACATGGACAAGTCTTTTGTCCAGAGCTCCCATTGCAAACTACCCTTGTCTGTTACCTTTGTCACTCTCAAAGGAAGCCATCCTGATGTTGCTCCACGTGCCTTCCTCCCACTCCACACTAAGCCTCCTTCCGATGCCCTCCCTCTGTGTTCTCTGGAATCCTGGTTCTATACCCCACAAGCACACACCCTCGCTGGCTACCCAGGAGGCTCTCCTCACTCCTTCTCCACGGGTACCTCCTGAGCATATGTGTGCTGTGGCCCTTGAAGTAGGGGAGTTAATCTCCACCAACACCATTTCCCATTTTCAGGGTCAGGAAGGGTCTGACATTCTCTCTTTCAAACCATGAATTCACTCTACCTGAGAGATTCTGGGTCCCCAAATACCTCTCTGTCCTCCCCAGACCCGTTCTCTGGCTCCGTGTAGTCTTCCCACAGAGGTTTCATTACATACGTTTCAGATACTTTGTGCTTGTATTTCTCCTCCCTGACCCACAGAAATGTCCCTTTACCTCTAGATTGGGGGATGTCACTGAGGCATGGAGAACATGAGACTCAGACTCATCCTCTCGCTGGCTGAGGAGTCCTCTTCTGTCCTCTCAGCTATCCATGAGAGCAGGGCCATGAGAGGTGATTGCTGTCACTCCTTCACCCGAGGTCCCCAGGTGCCTCAAGACACTGTGAATCTAAAGATTGCACATCTTCTGTTTACTGAATTATCTCTGTTTCCTAAGGGGATTTTTTCCCCTACTTTTTAATCTTATCTTTGTGTATCACATGGACACCTACTGGTGTTCCTCCTACATGTAATGATCTGTGATTATTCATATTTAAAAAGTAAAGGCTAGGTTGATTTTTCCAGGCAGCAAATGTAGATTGCCTTTGTTGTTATTTTATACAAATATCTTTGCCCATAGGTCTCTCCCATGAATAAGAGGTTGAGATGAGGTGTAGCCAGGATATTAGAGGGGCATCCCTTAGGTTCAGAGACCTTAAATTCTAGGAAAAGAACTCTCTTCTGGGATGGCAACTCCCACCATAGCTGCCCTAGTTTGTTGAAGAGTTCTTCCCCTGACCTTAAGTAAGAGAGACAAAAATCTCTATTTTGTTTGGAAAATAGATGCTTGAATGCCCCTATGCTGTATTTGTGGGAAGGGAGGGAAGTCTCACCCTGAAGCCTTTCCCATATATTTCTGAGCTGCAGATTTTTTGCTTCATTTAATCTATCTAGGCACTTCTGTCTTTACTCCATCTTCCAGATTTTTCTTCACTCAAAATCTCTGCCGATGACACTCCCATTTCTTTTTTTATTGTGAGTCTTTTCCCTTTTATTATTTTTTACTATAATATTATTAGGGCCCTAGAGAGAAGAAGAAAGATCAAAGTATTTCCCAGAACCCCATCCAGAAACTCATGATGCATCTCTCCTTTCTAGCTCTTTCCTGCGGTCTTCCTGATGCCCCCAAGAATGGAATGGTGTTTGGCAAGGAGTACACGGTGGGGACCAAGGCTGTGTACAGCTGCAGCGAAGGCTACCACCTCGCGGCTGGCGCAGAGGCCACCGCGGAGTGTCTGGAGACAGGCCTGTGGAGCAACCACAACGTCCCCCCTCAGTGTGTCCGTGAGTCCCTGGGCAATGGAGGGGCTGGGTAGGCAGCAGACAAGATGCCTGCAAGGGCTGAGCTGAAGAGGGGAACGTGTACATGACAGTCGAAGGATTCGGAGAGGGGAGGAGTGGCCTCTGCCAGCTTGGGCTGCCATTGAAGTTACTTTCAGAGGACTAATGGACTGTTGTGCCCGGGGACATTTCCATAAACCACCACAGAACTTACAAGTGACCTCGTCTAATGGAGAAACTGTCAGAGAGTGTGTATGAATGTCCCTCCATCACAAAAATCTGAAATGATGACTTTTAGGCTAGAATCCAAATTGGCAGCCTCATGGTCATACTTAGGTCAAAGATACAGGTTTTTTGGTTTCCTTTGGCCTACACTGTGCTTTGTAAAAAAAAAAAAAAAAATGCTTCTCAACAGTCTAAAATCAGGGAATTTTCAATAAACATCCAGATTCTTGGCTTCTCCTGGAAAATAAAGGCCTGACCAAATGGAACATGCATTCCCACAACCAACCAAACCAATCATCAACCGTGACTGAGTACCATCTCCCTCCTCTTTTTTCTCTCCTCCTCCTCCTCTTCTTCTTCCTCCTCCTCCTCCTCCTCCTCCTCCTCCTCCTCCTCCTCCTTCTCCTTCTCCTTCTCCTTCTTCTTCTGATCTGCACTCCTCAGTTTGCCATATCCCTCTCCCCAACACTTCACCCATTTTCCAAACCTCCCTAAGGACTTAAGGTTCTTGAATTTATCATGACTGCATTGGGTTCTCCAGTCCCCAGCTCTGGGCTCCTGCACTGTCTTCCATAATTGATTAACCTTCCTCCCTCCTTGTTTCCCCAGCTGTGACCTGTCCTGATGTCAGCAGTATCAGTGTGGAGCATGGCAGGTGGAGGCTCATCTTTGGGACCCAGTACCAGTTCCAGGCCCAGCTGATGCTCATCTGTGACCCTGGCTACTACTACACTGGCCAGAGGGTCATCCGATGTCAGGCCAATGGCAAATGGAGCCTTGGGGATTCCATGCCCACCTGCCAAAGTAAGCCCAGGAGGGAAGGGTAGGCAAGTTTGCACAGGGTCTCCTATGGGGGGTACATTGGAGAAGGGGAGAGGAGGGGTACCTCCAGGGATTATAGTGTCCTCTTTTTGTACACACACCTAGAATCAGGGGCTGGGAAAATGCCTGATCCACTGACAAAGTACTTCTTAGCATCTTGTCATCATATTAGAAGGTACATTTTTAATAAGCTGTACAGGTGAGCATGCACTAATTCATTTGTTCAACATTCCTTAGGCCCCACAGCGGGGTACTCCAGGTGTTGTAGGGGTATAAAGAAGTAAGGCTGTGTTTCCTACCAGCAAGGAGCTTGCAGGACTAGAGCAGCAGACAAAGAAGCATTGATAATGTGGTGTGTGGTGAGACATGGTGTGCAGGTGTGAGGCTCGCACGGGGAGGAGACACCTGAGTCTGTCTTCCTCTCCTTCTTCACTGTTATTTTTCTTCAGTTCTTTAATGTACTTCAAAGGTCATGGTTCCTGGGAAGTAAGTTGGAAACAGAGGTTAATTAGGGAGTGCTCTTGGGATCTCCACTTGTTGGGAGGGGGCAAAATTGCAACGTATGCAGTCGAGGGGAGAAATAAAGAATGTCCACGTGTTTCTGCCCCTTTCAATGCTTTATTCACTCAACTTACTCAATATAATTTCACTCTATAGGTTCTTAATCAAGAAAACAACAATTCTTAATGCTAGGCACTGCAATAGACGTAATCACTTCACAGCAAACAATTCTAGATTAATCCATTCACAGCAAACAATTCTAGATTAATTCTAAGTACTGCAAACACACTTAATCATGACAGGCTAATGACAGACATTCCCTCTGCGTGCTAAGTTCAAAAGTCTCAAGCCTTAGGCTTTATGTCCAGCAGATGCACACTCACTCAGACCGTGGTGACCAGGTCCGGAACCAAGGCAGGCTTTTCCTGGTGTGGAGTGGACGACCAGTTGAGGAGAATGTCATGGAGAGAAGTTGCAGCTCTCACCAAGGTCCAGACAGGCAGTAGAGTTTAAGAGCAGTGAGGATCACACAGAGGATCAGGAACGATGACAAGTGATGGGATGTCAGGTCCTCATCAGGCTCTCCAGCTCGAGTGCATCCTTGTTTCAACTGGCTGAATCCCTGTTCATTTGCTCTATTATTATACTAAATTTTGGGGCTTTTGACCCCCTTTTCAATCCTTATCAGCTACCACTGGATTTCTCAGTGACATCATTTACCCTGGCGTCAGAAACATCTGTCTGGTGGTCTCCACTCTGATCTTCTCACCTTTCCCTCTTATCAGGGAAGGACAGCCTGCCAGGGGCTTCACTCTGTTTATCAGAGTGAGGGGAAGTAACTTGTCTGAGGCCACACTGGAGGGCTCTGTGGGTGTGCCTGGTGAGACTGCAGGTTTCAAACTGGAGTTTTTAAAATGGTGTTGCTTAGTCTCAGGCCTAAGGCCACCCTCACACCACTGTAGAAGGGAAGGGAAGGGTGTGGGCCTTACAGTGTGATGTACTCATATGTGAGTGTGTGTGTGTGTGAGAGAGAGAGAGAGAGAGAGAGAGAGAGAGAGAGAGAGAGAGAGAGTGCGAGAGAGATCCCCAAGGTCACGAGTATAGGACAGCCTCACTGCAGTGCAGCTTGGTGATTAGGCGATCGTCAGCCACAGGCCATCAGAAGAGCTCTTAGAGGGAGCCTGAGGCCACCCTGGCTTCAGCAGAAGAGGAGAGGTTGACTGGCAGTGCCTGCCCAGGGCACTGGGGAGTACAGAATCGCCACCTCTTCCTAACCACAGTGCATGGCTGAACCTCCTGAGGAGTTTTTTTTCTTAAATACAGGTGCCTGGGCCTTATTATCTCCAGATATTGAGGGCATCTGGAGTAGAGTTAAGGATATAATAGCTCCTCTGGTCCTTCCAGAGACACCTGCAGCTGAGATATCACATCACACAAATCCATGTCACAACCCACATTCTGGTCTTGAGTTCCTGGGGAGGAAGGCTAAACCCATGTTACTTTTGTCATAATTCATGTTCATCGAAAGCAGCACGTCTCCCTCCTCTTAAAGCCGACTGTGTGTTTTCTGGTCCTTTCAGTCACCTCCTGTGGAGAGCTCCCCACGCCCCCCAGTGGCCACCGCATTGGAACACTGTCTGTCTATGGGGCCACTGCCATCTTCTCCTGCAATTCCGGGTACACTCTGGTGGGCTCCAGGGTGCGGGAATGCTTGGCCAACGGGCTCTGGAGCGGCTCAGAAGTCCGCTGCCTGGGTAAGTGGTCTCCTCAAGACAGACTAGATGTTTCCAAAGCTGGGAGCCCGCTTTTCACCAAGATCATTTTACCTTCTGTCGGAAAATGTTTACCCCAAACACCGTTCTGCAGCTGCCATGACTAAAACCCCAAACCAGCTTCTGTTGGAGCACTCAAGTCTGATGAGACCAGACTTTGAGGGGTTGTTTTTCTGAGGGATCAGAAAAACAACCCCTTGTTATTGGCCCTTGCATAAGGGGTGAAGCCCCAGCCCCCACCTTATAGAGACACATTCCTGTAACATACCTCAAATACCCTTTATATTATATATTAGCAAATTATTTAAAATACATATGTATGTATATATGTGAATTACATCATATGTGCATATATGTGTGTGTTTTCTTACATACATGGTAAGAAAAAGACACATATAAAAGCAACCTGGCTTACAAAATACGAAGTTTTCATTTCTCTGTCCTCTTGCTCCTTTCTCAATTCCAAAAGAGGGTCTCAGCCACACAAACCTCACAGAACCAGTTGGGCCATCTCTCCTGGGTGGACAGTGCTGCCCTCCCACCCTCTCAAGCCCCTGTTAAGCACACAGTCATGGGTTATTTCCACACAGCGCCAAAGGAAGCCAATAGAGGAGCCAACAGAATGCCAGGAAGACCTGCTACTCAAACCCCATTGAATAAAGATAACTCACCCAAGTGCCACTCAAAAAGGAAAGAAAATTAGCCAAACCACATGTTTTTATATGGTGTTTTTAGTACGACTAGGCTTTGACAGCCTTAATTAGACCGTGGCATCCTCCATGAGGTTGAAGGTCAGTAAATGCTGGTTGATGGGAAAGAGAGACACCCCTGTGTTAGTCAGCTTTCCATGCGCTGACAGAATGCCTAAGGTAACCAACTTGTAAAAAGGAAAGTTCATGGCTCATGGTGTCAGAGGTCCCAGGCCATGGTCACTCAGCCCTGTTGCTCTGGGCCTGTGGTGAGGCAGAACATCACGTGGGAACTTGGAACCAAGGAAACTGCTCACCTCATGGCGTCCAGGAAGCAAAGAACCTGGACAGGAGCAGGGTCCCAATATCCCCTTCAAGAGCACCCCGCATCCCAGTGACCTAACTTCCCCCAATAGGCCCCACCTCTTACGGCTTCTGACCACCTTCTAACAGTGCTGTGGGCTGGGGATGGGGGCCCAGCACAGGGGCCTTCCAGGAACTTATCTAAGCCATGGCAATCTCTGAGGCAGGTAAGTTCCCACATGTGTGCAGACACAGCAAAAAAACTCAGAAACAGGTGGCCATTTGGGATGCAACCCTGCGATTGGGGGTTGCCATGCCCTCGAGACCATTTCTATCATGACTGTGATTCCTGAAGTCACTCCTGTATTGCTACTTTCAGGGGGAGCTGGGAAAAGTGAAGGGTGTTTGGGACTCGGTGCTTTCCCCCCACATCCCTGTCGCTCTCCACCTTGACCAAGCTCTGTCTCATTTTCTGGAAGCACCTCTTTGATTTCTTCTTTCCCATCTCCCACCCAAGCTGGACACTGTGGGACCCCTGAGCCCATCGTCAACGGACACATCAACGGAGAGAACTACAACTACCGGGGCAGCGTGGTGTACCAGTGCAACGCCGGCTTCCGCCTCATCGGCATGTCAGTGCGCATCTGCCAGCAGGACCACCACTGGTCGGGCAAGACCCCTTTCTGTGTGCGTAAGTATGTCACCCGCTCTCCCTAGTCCCCGGCTCAGATTCAACACGGACCCTCTCTTAGATTAGCTAGAAGATTCGTAGAGTTATCCTTTTTTTATTTTTTTCTTTCTCAAAGATGTAATCATGACCTCCATTGTTTTCAGTTGTCCACATCATTAATTGTTGCTTTCACTTGGATTGTTTCTTCCCTATGATTTGGTTTGCCTTAATAGTCATGTCCTAGCTTCAGAGTTGGGATTTTAATTCATTTGCTTTCATTCTTTCATTTGTATAGATTTTTATTGACATAAGTATTTAAACCTATGGAATTATTTTTGATCACCTGTTTTAATTGTATCTCAGAGAGTCTCATAATGAAGGTTTATCATTTGTGAGAAAGTCTGTAATTTTGGTATTATAGTATCTCTCTGTCCATATATATATATGTATGTGTGTGTGTATATATATATATAGAGAGAGAGAGAGAGAGTCATGTAGATATGTATTTCATAAATCATGTTGCTTATGTCCTCTTTATTCTTGCTAATTTTGGTCTACTTGGCCTTTTTTCCTAAGATGTATATTTAAAGTTTCCTATTATCAGTGTGTTTCCACTTTTTCTTGCATTCCTTGCAGTATCTTTCTTTCTTTCTCTCTTTCTTTCTTTATTATCAGAAATTGAACCCAGAGGCATTTAACTACTGAGCCACATCCCCAGCCCTTTTTTGTGTCTTATTTAGAGACAGGATCTCTCTGAGTTGCTTAGGGCCTCACTAAGTTCCTGAGGCTGCCTTTGACTCTGTAGTTTCTGCTAAATAAAGGTAATTGCTGTGTTATTGGGTGCATAGATATTCATAATTATTGGCATGAATGTCAAATTGTGGGTTTTAGCCTTTAAAACTGTCTTCTTCATCACTGATAACATTTTTTTAGTTGAAGTTTTACTTTGCTTGATATCAGGCTTACACCAACTCCTACTTTGATTCTTTTTCCTGATATGGTCTTTGACCATCCATTTAATGGTGGATGAATCTCTTAAATCAAGTGTGATTCTCATGCACAGCATTGAATTTAAACTTGCCTCGTGAGTCAACTTGAAAATCTTCCTTTTATGAGTTAAACTCATTCATGTGTATTGATAGGTCTGATCCATTTGGTCTCAATTCTGTCATCTTTATGTAGTTAGTATTGTAAAATAGTATAGTATATCTCTGTAAGATGTGTTTCTTTGCTTTCTTTTTCATTTCTTTAGGTATTTAGGAAAGCTTGAATCTTTGTCCTGTTGCTTACTTCTGTACTTGTAACATTTTAATGCCATTAGCTCTGATTGTCTGACTTAACTTTTTATTATGTAGTTTATCAATTTTTACCTGTTTATACAACAATGAGCTTATTCTATGTTCTTTCCCTTTTCCCCTTTCCTTTCACTTTTAGTTGGATTATTCCTACTTTGTCAGGACATAAAATATTTATGACAGTATTTATATATTCTATCTTTCCCCCCACCTTTACTCCTAGATCTATAATTAAATATATCAGAAGCTCACCCAATCTATTGAAGTTTTCCCAGTTATCTCTTAGTAGGGTCAAGCTCAGTCTCTAGTAGATTCTTCAATAAGATTCCTTGCATAATATTCTCCCAAGTTCTTGCATATTTAAAACTGTTTTTCTGTACCTTTAAACTTGAAGGACAGCTGGATTGGAAAATCCCTGGCCACCTTATTGCTTTGACTGTCTAAAAAGTGTTCCTCCACCATTATTTTGCTTAGCATGTTACTCTTTTTTTTTTCTCACACTTTCGTTTTTATTGTATGTATTCAAACTGAACTACAGAATGTTTGGAGATCCAATGAAAGGCTTAGTACACTCCATGTAATTAGCATCTCCATCTTCTCACCTATTTCCCTTCGGGTGTTTGTGGGAAGAGCACCCAAAGCTGCTTTAGGAAATTTCCACTGCACAGTACAGTCCTGTGAACTGAAGTTGCCATGCTGTGGGTTGGATCTTACTTGTACTACAACCTTGAACCCTTTAACACTATCTCCCTGTCTCCCCTGCCACTGCCACTGGTAACAACCCTTCTCCTTGCCATTTCTATGTATCCAACGTTTAGAATTATAAGATTGGCTTGATTCCATTTTATAAGCTATTGAATTATTTTCTGGGGGTCCTGATTATTTTTTTTCCTTTATTCTTAAAGTCTAATATTTTAGCCAGGTAATGCCTCTAGAGTTGACTGTTCCAAGACAATTTCCCCAGGTGTTCTGTGCATCTGTGAATGTGTAGATTCAGGTCTTCTTTTATTTTATTGCATTCTATTGGGTTATAGTTGTAGAACTAATTCTGGCACACTGTACCTGGGTTTAGTGTTTATTTCTCTACTTCGCATCATTTAAAGTTTGTAGCCTTCTCTGTTTTCTCTGCAGGTGTGGGTTTTCTGTACTTTCATTTGTTCTTGTTAATCTACAACTTTTAGATTTAGGCAACCACCATTATCCTCCACTGCCTGGAAGCAATTTGGATAATTTCTCACTTTTTAAAGTTCCCTAAAGTGAGATTTATGTAAAGTGGAGGGTTATGTTCTTCATTTTTATCTTTGTCTTTATTTGGCTTTTCCTGTACAGGATAGGGCCATAAAGTTATTTTAGCTTTTTAATCACTGTCACCAAAAGACCTGGCAAGAACAAAATAGAAAAGAGAAAGTTCATTTGGGGCTCACAGTTTCAAAGGTCTCAGTCCACTGACAGCCGATTCCATGGCTCTGGGCCCAGGGTGAGGCAAAATATCCTGGTGGAAGGGTATGGAGGAGGAAAGCAGCTCAGAACACGGCCACCAGGAAGCAGAGAGAGCTCCCCTCACCAGAGACAAAATGTAAACCCCAAAGGCATGCCCCAAGTGACCTGTTTCTTCCAGACACACCCTACCTGCCTGCAGTTACCACGTCAGTGGATTAATGCACCAAATAGGTTATGGCTCTCATAACCCAATCATTTCATCCCTGGGCTTTCTTGCATTGTCTCAATCATGAGCTTTTGGGGGACACCTCATATCTAAAGCATAACAAAAATCACAAGACTTTCTGTTTAAGCAATGCATGAACAGTAGTCCTCGTGGTGGCTTAAGAATTATTAATGTACAGAAAGCAAGACCCATTGGTATCCAGTCACACCTTCAGATACATCTAAACAAACCATGTTCAGCTTCATGAGAAGATGCAAATTCAAATGCCTTCAGGAAATTGGCACCCAATGTTCATGAAGAGGTTTCTTGTGTGAATAATGGAGAGAGCAGGGGTCTGGATGGAGAATGTCTGCCTGACCTAAAGATATTCGTTTTTAGGCCTGGGTGGTATTACCAGGCGGCACAGTGAGGAGGCAGGCACACAGCTGAGGGCCTCAACCACCCGGCGCACACCCAGCTCCAGCCAGACACCACGTGCTATATGACTGCAGACCAAGCAGCTCATGCACTGGGTGGGTGCTAATTTCATCAGCTCTGAAAAGCCAGTCCCTTAGTCCCTGTCCTGAGGATTAAATAAATTAATACACGAGAATGGTTAGAACAGAACCCTATTGCTGCTGCTGCCAGCCTAGTGATGACAGTGACCTGGGTGGTGATATTGCCACCCTGACACATCACAGAATCCAGGATCCCTTATGCTGGCCCCTTTCTCTTCTCGAGCACTGAGCCTGGCATGCTACCTAGAGGAGAAAGGCAAGTAAAAGAACAAGCCGGACGCAGTGGTGCACGCCTGTAATCCCAGCAGCTGCGGAGGCTAAGGCAAGAGGATCTCGAGTTCAAAGATAGCCTCAGCAACTTAGCAAGACCCTGCCTCAAAATAAATCTTAAAAAGGTTGGGGATGTGGCTCAGTGGTTGAACACCCCTGGGTTCAATCCCTGGTTTGAAAAAAAAAAAAAACTAGTAAAAGAAGAGACTTGTGGGGGTGCTTACTCTGTCAAAGGCCCTGCATTGGCTGCTGTCCATGTAAACTCACTTTCCCCGGCGTCCACCAGACTCCGGACCTCCCTCCCTCCTGCACTGCCCTCCTTAGCTCCCCTGCCCTGGGCCCACACGGCTGCTTCATGCTTTCGCCAGCCTTCTGAAGACCCACATTCCACACCCCTGCCTATACTCTGGGGAACTAGCTAAAGTGGCAAAGCTGGCCTGGAATGAGAAGCCGGGCTCAGAACTCAGATAAGCCCCTTGGAAACGGAGCCCCCGAACAAGTCTCTCAACTCCCCTGATAGTCTCTTTCCCATGGGGATAATGACCCTGCCTGTTGAGATGAAATGAGCTCATGCATATAAACCCCACCACCATTAGGTAATCGGATCATCCCGGTCTCTATTTTGCAGAGATGATAGAAGCCATAGACAATAATCCCTTCTACTTCCTGCTTCCCCACCCATCTCATCCGCATCTATCCCTGCCCTTCCCACCCTAGTAGCAGAAGAATCCCTCTCCCTGTCCAGGGCTGTCCCTCCACTAGGCTCTGGGTCTCCCTCCCTCCAGCCTCCGTGGTGAGCTTAGTCTGTCTTGAACGCTCTCTCCTCCGTTCTCACTGTTTCTTTTTTATTGCTTCCCTCAGCCATATTCAACCAACTTTCCTTAGCACCCAGGACTTCCAGGCACTGTATTGGGTGTCGTGGAGAATGGAGTGTGTCATAGTCTTGCCCTCAAGAAATTAAGAACCAGGGGTCCGAGAGGGCCAGCCCCTGTTGAGTGCTGATGCCTTAGCAGGACCCTTCCTTTCCCCTGGTGATGCCTTCCCTTTTCCCCTTTGCAGCCTGTGTTAGGTCTCAAGAAAAACAGCCCCAACAGGAAGTGTGTGTGTCTGGAGAGAGAGGGGTTTATTTGAGGAAACTGCTCATGCAGCCATGGAGGCTGGCAAGTGCACAATCTGCAGCACAGGCTGGAGACTTAGGGGGGCCTTGCTGTTCTTGGCTGATGGCAGTCTGCAGGCAGAAGCCTCTCGTCTTCCAGGAAAGTCAGGTGTTTTCTATCAAGGTCTTCACCACGTTAGGCAAGGCCCACCCACACTATGGCAGATGATCCACTTTACTCAGAATCTCCTGATTTAGATGTCATACTCATCTAAAAAAAAATGCCTTCACGGAAATACTGAGAATAACATTTGAACACATATCTGGGTACCACAGATTGGCCTCATTATTTAACACATGAAATTAACTGTCGCATGAACTTACTGCTTGACAACTTTGCCTACTCAAATTGCTTCCACCTCTTCCCACATTGGCAGCCAGGGCCACTGAAATCTGAGTTACGCCCCCACCATTTCTCTGCTCCAACCAGAAAGAACCTCCCAGGCAGTAGGAGCTCTGGTCCTGGACCACGTCACAGAGTCCTCAGGGCCCTGCTGCCCAGGAGCTGTGGGATGGGAGTCCAAGGCATGGCAGCCGGAGCTCTGAAGCAGACAGTGACCCAGGACCCAGACAGCTCCAGGCCCTTGTGTGGGGATACAGGATATGGTACCTGGTGGCAGCAGCTGCTCGGCTACTGTTGCTCCGTGAACAGGGCCTGGGAATATGTGAGAGTCAGAGAGCCTACAAGAGACCAAGAGACACTGCCAGGTCACCAGTGCCCCTTCGGATGCATTGGTGGACGTTGTTCTGTCCTTATCTTACTTGACCTATGGGGTGCCAGCATGCCTTGCAGCTCTGCCCTTGGCCTCCATGACACTGCCCCTTCCTCCTGAGCCATGCTCGCTCCTTTTCCCACCATTCCTCAGCTTCCTTTGCAGGTTTTGTTGTCTCTGTGCCTTCAAAGGTGGTATCCCGGAGGGTTGTAATCCTAAGCACCAGGCTCATGGTTTTTAACCTTGGGGAGGGGGCCAAGCCCCCCCGCCCACCTGGTGAAACTGGAGGGTCCTCTCCCAGGCTGCCACTTCACAGATCTTCGCAGTGAACGCGCGGGCTCATGGAGCTTCTCCCCACCTTGACCACTGCCCCATTGAAGGCGAAGTCCTGCTTGCCCTGGAGTAGGATGGAGACCCCGTTCGAATGTCATGCCAGGGAGAAGAGGCTGAATCTCGGGGAGTGTGGAACAACAGGGGGCTTACCCGTCTTCTGTTTGGGTTCCAGCAATCACCTGTGGACACCCAGGCAATCCTATCAACGGTCTCACTCACGGCAGCCAGTTTAACCTGAACGATGTGGTCAAGTTTGTTTGCAACCCTGGGTATGTGGCTGAGGGGGCTGCGAGGTCCCAGTGCCTGGCCAGCGGGCAATGGAGTGACATGCTGCCTACCTGCAGAAGTGAGTCTCCCTTCCTGTCCCCCTCTACCTCTCACTACCTCCACCTTCTGTGGTTCTGTAGCTCAGGAGCAAAAGCCGGGACCTTCAGTCCTTATGTTATTATGACTCAGGGAACACTTGAGACAGAGAAGGGTCATAAGTGGAAATTCTGTCGACCCCTAGATATGGCCATGTAAAATTTCTTCATGGGTTATATGGAAAGCAAGACTTAGCTTCATTTTTCTAAATCTTCAGTTGTTGGCAATTTCATAGAACAAATAATCCCATAAAGCCATACTCTTTTATAAGCAAACAGGTTTACTTTTCCTCATATAAGCAAGAAATCTAAAAGTAGTATTATTTCTGTAGCTGCTCAGTGAGGTTCAGAGCAACATCTTGGTCTTTCCTCATGGTTGCACACTAGCTGCTGTAGCTCCATTGTAACCACATTCAATGGAGCCCTATTCTTGATGAATTTGTTTAAAGCAGCAGAGTTGGAAAGAAAAATAACAGAGGAATTTAAGGGTCGAGACAAAGGGCTAGGGCTGGTGTGTAAGAGGCACAGAGAGGAAACCAAAGACTCCACAGGCAAACTGGGCAGAGGATATCCTGGCCCTATTTGAACTATTTAGGAAGTAACTTCTAAAGCTTCTAAAGGCTTTTTACAGCAGTAAAGCACTGAAGTCTTGAGAGTCTCGTCAATAAGTACCTTATACTTAAAGGCTTATCAAAGAGGAAAAAAAAAGACTCTGGTTAGATAATGAATGTGAAGGTGTTTTGAAAGCAAAAGCACATATTAGAGGTTATGAATAATACTGTCATTATTCTAAAATCTCACCCTAATTTTAAGTAAAGCTGCTTTGGAAACACTTTAACATTTTAAAGTCAACTGTATCCTCAGGGGATTAGTGTCTCCCTGAAGCACTCACAGAATTGATTAAAACAGTTTCCAGGCCCTACCTGCTGTGGACGAGCTTTGCTGTGGGAGCCACATTGTGTGAGGGACCCAGCACTCCGAGCAAGAGGGCCATGTCCCCAAGGGACATATGCGGGCACCAGTCACAACCCAGGCCGGGAAAGTCAGCAGTACAATTTGTGCAGGGGAGGGCCTCGCTCCATGAGGAGGGGCAGGCTTCTCTGAGGTGCCATCCAGCTGGACATGAAGGATGGATCCCTTGACTCAGGGACCTAGGCGGGGACAGGGCAGTAGCCTCAGGTCCAGCCCACCCTCCTGGGGAGGATCAGCTCTGACACCTGGCTTCAGCCTGGAGTTCTGCTGCTCTGGGAATGCGTGGCTGGTCTGACTTGTGAATTCTCCTTGCAAAGTTGGAAAAAAAAAATCTTCACATTGAGTTTCCTTCCTCTTAATTGTCCCTCTTGATTACAGTCATCAACTGCACAGATCCTGGGCACCAAGAAAACAGCATCCGTCAAGTCCATGCCAGTGGCCCACACAGGTTCAGCTTTGGCACCTCCGTGTCTTACCAGTGCAACCACGGCTTCTACCTCCTGGGCACCCCCGTGCTCAGCTGCCAGGGGGACGGCACCTGGGACCGTCCCCGCCCCCAGTGCCTCTGTAAGTAGGCGTCATTTGCTCAGCGTGACTGATGGGGTGGTTCATGGCAAAGATGGGCCCTGTGCGTGTGGGGGTGTGGGTGTGGGTGTGTGCTCACGCAAGTGCGTGTTCCATCACCGTGACCGTCATTCTGGCTGCTCCTCGGATAGCAGGGCCCCCACTGAGCCCCTGCTGGATTCATTGCCAAACCAACTCATGTGCTTCTCCTCGCTGTTCCCTTTCTTCTTAGTATTGCCCCCAACCTCTGCAGGCTTCAGAAATGACTGCCTAGTGGGACACCATCTCCTCATTTTAGCCCTCCCGGGATTTCCAGAAAGGCAGCACAGGAACCCCTTTCTTTTGGAGGACTGAAACGAAGTCCCACAGGCTCCATGGCAGGGCCTCCCTGGATGAGGAGCTGGCTTTGCCACTGAGCGTGCTGTGTGGCTCAGGAGAAGTTAGCTGCCCTCCCTGAGCCTCGGCTTCTTCATGGCTGGACATCTCACTCATCCCTGTTCGGAGGGTTGTTAGAAGACTCAGTGAGAAAATCCACAGAGTGCCCGTTTATCGGGTGGTACATAAAAGCTGCTCCATCAATAATAACTGCATCCATTTGTCTTAGAAAAAGTTATGGGGACAACATGGAACCAAACCTGGGCAAGGTGCTCAGGCCACCAACCTCTGGTTAAGAGCCTCGGTGTCCTTATGAGAGCAGTACCCGTTCTCCCACACTCTCCTCTGGGTCCCCAGGGGAGCCCCGTGATCACTCTCTCCCATCCCCCCAGGGGTAGAGCTGAAGACACACTTCTGAGGGCTGGTGGTAGCCCTTCAGCGGAGCCCTGTCCTACACACTCTGGAGCCCTCCAGCCCGGGGGCTTCCTCTTCTTAAAATCCTGCCTCTAGGGATGATAGGAGCCTGGTACAGCGACCCTCTGCACATAGTCCTCCTATTTGAGGACCCTGACCTGGCTGTTGAACTTGACCAACAAGTTGTTGGTTTTGAATGCACATCCACCCATGTACAGTGGTCCAGCAGAGATTTAAAGTCCTTGGTAAAAATAAAGCTTTTATCTTCTAGTAAAAATAAAGCTTTTATCATGATAAAATGACCTTACCTACATCACATTCTGCCCCCAAGGCTTCTTTTATCCGATGTTAATACTGATAAATATCAAATTTATAACCCTCCTCCTTTGCTTAGTAAGTATATGATATATTTTTGTCCTTTTTCTTTTAACCATTCTTTCTGCAAAAGAAGAAAACATTTTATCGTTACCTTTTAAACCTATCGAACAATCTTTTCCTTCAGTTGGAGGATTTGATCCATTTGCATTTTTTCCTTCAATGAAATATAATTCACTCTTTTAAAGATGATGTCAACTTGAAATCAAAATACAGAGATGAATCTCACAGCCAAGGATTTAGCTGGGAATAATAGGCAAGAAGTAGAATGGCAGTTTGGGACACACAGAGACCATGGCCCCTGGTACATCCAGAGGCAGCTTGAGTTGGTCTGAAAGTTCGTTGGTGCTGTCAGTGTCTCGCAAGAACTCTGTTCTGACTGGGGAGTGCCAGGAGTTGCTAGGAAGGACTGGTCATCTTGGAGTTATGGTTAGGCCCTTGTAGTTTGATATGGGGCTGGTGATACCATTTTTCAAATGGTCCTATGCAAACTGAGTGTCCTCCCCTTGGCCTCTGAACTCCATCTTAGTTGGATATGACATAAATGGCCCTGTTTTGTATAATCAACTTGAACACAAACAAATCCAGCAAGTTTTACATTCACAAAGTTTTGTAACCATCACCACTAGCTATTTCCAGAACATTTCATCACCCCCAAAGGAAATCCTTTAGCTTCTAACCCCCACCCCCCACCCCACCCTATCACTGTGTGATCACTAACCTACTTTGAGTCTCTATAAATTTGCCCATTATAGACATTGCAAAAAAATATTATTATCTATGTGGCTTTTTGTATCTGGAATATTCCACTTAGCATAATTTTCAAAGTACATTATGCCTTAGCATATATCAGTATTTCATTCCTTTTTATGACCAAATACTATTCCATTGTATGGATATACCATATTTTGTTTATGCTTCATCAGGAGATAATATTGCAATTATGGCATTGGCTATTGTGAAGAAAGCTACTATGAGCATTTGTGTACAAGTGTTTTGTGTGAACACATGTTGACAGTTCTCCTGGGTAAATACCTAGAAGTAAAGTTGCTGAGTCATATGGTACCTCTATGTTTAATTTTTTGAGGAACTACCAAACTTTTCCAAAGGGGCTGCAACATTTACATTTACATTCCTACAAGCTGCATGTGAGGGTTCCAATTTCTTTGCATCCTCACCTGAGCTTGTTATTGTCCATAATTTTTCATCATAGCCATCCCAGTGGGTATGAAGTGATCTCTTCTCATGGTCTTGATTTGCATTTCCCTGAGGACCAATGATGTTGAGTATTTTTTGTGTGAGTACACAATGGCTACTTGTTTACCTTCTTTAGAGAAATATCAATTCAAGTCCTTTGTCTATTTTTCATTGGGTTGTTAGTACAGCTGAGTCAATCTGAGTTAAAACTGGTCTTTATGTGCTCTGGATACTGTATCCGTATCAGATCTATGGTTTGCCAATATCTTCTCCTGTTCTGTGGGTTGTCTTTTTACTGTCTTGATAATGTCCTCTGATGTATGAAATTTTTTAATTTTAATAAAGTCCAGCTTATCTGTTTTTTTCTTTTGATCCCTGATGACACCCCCACCCAGTGAAACCCTTTCACTGATGCTTCATGATTATTATGACACTGTTTTGGGGCTAACCACATCTCTCTATCTAGAAGATGTAGATATACCTGTGAATACGGTTGTGGCAAACTATAGAGGACTTTAACATCCCCCCACCCCACCCCACATCAAGCTAGTCAGTGAAAATCCTCTGTTCCTTCCAGGTGAAGGAAAACTGCTTTAATGAGTGTGGATGTGCAGGGACCAAAGAAAATGCATGACTGGGTCTATTTCTGAGCTGGAGAGCGGTGGAGACAGTGGAAGGCGGTATCTGGAGAGTGCAGCTCTCATACTCAGGGGACAAGAACAGTGAAGGGTCCTTTTCTTTTTGCTGTGGGACTTGGCATAGCCCATTCAACCACTAATTCCTAATTTATATTTTGGGGTTTTGCTTAATTATAATGTTATGGGGTTTTTTTTCAATCCCCTGTTAAATGTGTACTCTATGTAATTCAAGAAAGTCTGTTATTATTAGGCTTGCTAAGTACCTATTTTGTCTATTTTCATGTACACATTTTCATTTAATTTGCAGTTAGCAGTGAGAGTCAATGACATGACCCAAAAGACCTCATTTGGAACCAGCCTGAATATTTAAAACATTTTTTTCCAGTATAAGAGATTGGATTCAGGGTCTCATGCCTGCTAAGCAAGTACTCTACTGCTGAGCTACATCCCTGGTCCTTTTTATGTTTTTTGTTTATTTGTTTTTGTTTTTGAGACAAAGCCCCACTAAATGGCTGAGGCTAGCCTTGAACTTTTGATCCTCCAGATTAAGCCTCCCAAGTGGCTGGGTTACAAGTGTGTGCCACCCTGCCCAGCTTAAAAAAATTTTTTTTTAAACTTTATTTTGCCAATTGAGAAATGTAGCAGCAGCTATTCACATTCTTTGTTCTCTGCCTACTTGATTTTTATGCAAATATACTCCAAACATAAGTTGTTTCTCTCATTATCATACATCTTTTTCTTCTTTTTTCTTGTCCACAGCAGCCAAATGGTATTGTCATTATTTTATCTTTTGTCACAAATATTATTATTAACTTCTTCATCCTTTCAAATGACAAACTACAGAAAGGGAACCAAACAATAGAATATATTCCTCTGACTTTACAGATACCTGGGTAGCTTAGATCAAGTCATTGCCAAAAAAAATAAAATAAAAATTCATGTGCTTTCTCAGAGATTATTAGATATTCCCACAATACAACACTCTCCTCAAACCTTCGTCAGGAAAATTTTAAAGCCAAATAAGAATATCTTTTTCCAAAAAAAAAGAAAGAAAAGCATCCAGGTACTATCCAGAAATCATGAGATCTAGCCAACATAAAGTACGTGCATGTGTATGCCAATAAACATAAACAAAAATGTTCTTATGGGTATTATTCATAAAAGTCCAAAAGTAAAAACAATTTAAATGATTATATGAAATGGATAAATAAAATGTGGCGTATTCATGCAATGATGTGTCAGCCAGCCTTAAAGATGACCCCAAAGTTCCACGACTCATGCATTCATGTACCCTCTCACACTGTACCAGACTTGGTCTTGTGACCAACATGGTGGAAGTGGTAGAAGTGGCTTCCAAAGCTATGTTGTAAAACACATTGCCACTTCTGCCTTGTCAAGCTTTTCAAGGGCAACTTGCATCCTGGGCACCACCTCATGAGGGATCCTGAGCCAGAACCATCCTCAAATTTCTGACCTTAAAAGCCTGAGCAAGAGCAAATATTTATTAGTGTCTAACTTTTAGGGCAAAATCCAACCTATGACCTGTTTTTCTATGACTCTGGGCTTTTCATGGTTTTCACATTTATAAAGCATTTTTTTAAAGGAAGAAGAAAAATAAGCAACAGAGACCCTATGTGGCCCTCCAAGGTTAAAATATTTACTATCTGGCCCCTAGAGAAAGTTTGCCAAGCCCTGCTCCATCGCAATGATAATGAATGAGCTCCTGCATCCACATAGCTGCTTCTCCAAGCAAGATGCCAAGGGGGTAAAGCCAAATGCAAAATACATATCCAATGATTCCATTTACATAAAATTCAATCCATGCACAAAAATTTGCAGAAGCAAGCAAAACTAATGAATGGTGTACAAAGTCAAGATGGTGGTTTACTCTGGGGAGGTGGAAAGGGCAGAGATAGGTAGAGAGCATGGTGGCTTCTAAGGTGCTAGCAGTATTCTACTTCTTGATCTGGGTATAATGAGTGTGTTCATTAACGAGTGTAATTATGTGTTCACTTTATGACAATCCATTAAGCTGTGCACTGGTGATTATTGTATTTTTCTGTACATATGTTGTATTTCTATTAAGGAGAATATATTTGAAAAACTATTAGAGAGTTTAAATTGGACAATTTAGGGAAGTGCAGAAATCACTAATAAATAATCATAGAAGCATTTAAATGAAAATTGGAGACTCCACTGCTTTCAGAAGAAGAGAATTCGTTGGTTGCATTAAAATAGAATTGCAGAAGGAAGTCCATTAGCATGCATAAGAGTGTGGCCCTGCAAACTGGTTTCCAGAGCTGATTCTGTCATTGAATAGGTCTGTGACCTTGGGTAACTTACATGTCCTTGCCATTTCTTATTCTCTTGATCAGTAAGATGGAGATAAAAATGGTGCCCACCCTATAGGGTTATCTCAAGAAATAAATAGCAAAATCCTTGAAACTCACTGAATTAATGATCAATTCTGATCTTGAAACTTAGTACCACCTGTTCTTGCTTTCTCACAATTTTATAGGTCATAAATTTAAGTAAGGCTTAGCTGGTATATTAGTCTGGGTTCTTCAGTGAAACAGGAAGAAGATAGGCAGACAGATAGATAGATGATAGATAGGTAGATAAATAGATAGGAAGAGATTTATCATAAGGAATTCATTCATATAATTATGGAGGCTCAGCAAGCTGGAGACCCAGGAGAGTAAATGGTATAAGTTCCAGTCCAAGTCTGAAGGTAGGAAAAGATGATATCCTAGCTAGAAAACAACCAGGCAGAGAAAATTTTCTTACTCTTTTTTTTTCTATTTAAGCCTTCAAAGGATTAAATGAAGCTCAATGACATTGGGGAGGGAAACCTGCTTTGTCCAGTCTGCCTATTCAAGTGTTACTATTATCCAGAAACACGCTCAAGAGATACACCTAGAATAATGTTTGACCAAACATCTAGGCACCCCGTAACCTAGTCAAGTTGACACACAAAATCAACCCTCAGAGCACTTGGGACTGGCTGTGGGCTGAGGAGGAAGCTGTTCTTCTTGATGTGGCATCTCTCCATGTGGCTGCTCTCTCTACCAGACTGTCATTGTCTTCTTCCACAAGGTTGTTTTTCCAGGACAAAGGAAAAAGTTATCAGATCTCTGAAGAACAGAGTTCAGAATTCCTCAAACCTCATTCCACCACATTTAGTCAATCAAAGCAGCACAAGGCCAGCCCAGATTAAAGGGAAAGGGAAATAATAGACTCCATTTCTTGGAGCGGGAAGAGTGGCATGCAGGTGCAGGGTTGGAAGAATTGTTGGTGCCATCTCTGCATACAGTTAGCCCACTGTCACCACAGCTCATAGCCTTGATTTGTGCAGTATACAACTCCTCACCCTCAAGACCTCCAACATCATATTTATTGTGTTCAGTTATCTATTGTGTAACAAATCACCCCAAAAACATAGCTGCTTAATGCCACTATAATTTTATTGCTATGATTGACAATTTGGGCAGGGTTTAGTGGAAACATTCATCTCCACTCCACACGTCATTGGCTATTGTGGCTCCACAGAGCCTAGAAAATCCAAGATGACTTCACTCACATATCAGGGATCCTGGAGCTTGCTGTGATCTGAGACACTATGATTGTTCTCTACCTGGTCCCTCTCTCCACATGATTTCTTCTCATTCAGCAGTCTACACCAGATTCCATATATGGTAGGACTAATATTCCAAGACATGAAGGCAGAAGTTGCTAGACCACTGAGGCTACCACTGGTCCAAGGTCCCCTTCATGACATTCTATTATTCAAGGTAGATCAAAAACCCAGCTTATAGCCAAAGAGAGGGGAAACAGGCTCCAGCCCTTGATGAGTGGAATTGTTAGTGAGAATCTTTGCAGATAACCTACCACAAGCACTTAGAAGCATTTTGGACACACTTTAAGACCACAATGAGATGTGAGGGTACCTAAGACCTATTCATGTCATCAATGTGCCCTGACACAATTTCATCACCAGGGACAGCATTGGTCCAACCCAGATGTTATCCCTGCATTGTCTGTCCTGATCAGCATCCCTGTCAAGAACTCTGCCCTTCCTGGAAACCAGTTATGGCCACAAGGATCTCCCACCAGGTTTCAAGATTTAGTTGAAGTCATTATCATCTCTTCTGAAACTACTGCAACAGCCCCTTCTTTCATGCCCCACCCTGGATTTTTCCCCCACACAGCAGCCAGAATGATCAATCATATTAAAATGTAAGCTGGATCATATCTTTCCATAGTTTCCTATCATGCTTAAAATAAAACCTAAATTCTGTGCCATGATCTGGTTCCCAGGAGGGACCCCCTCCTCCCGTGTCATCTTACATTCTTTCCTCACCTGTTCTATTGCAGCATCTCTGGCTTTCTTGCTGTTCCCCAGCACACCAAGCTCCTCTGTCCTCTGGGCCTTTACACCCCATGTCCCTTCTTTTGTAACACTCTTCCCCCTCAGCTTACATGGCTGGTCCTTCACATCATTCAGGTGACCCCACTCAAAAAAGAGTACCTGTGCCTCACCCTGAACACCTTTTTCCTTTGGCAACTTTACTTTTCTTCATAATACACCCTGAAATTACCTCTTCATTTTCTTACTTTTAGCGCCTCTTCCCACTAGACTATAAGATCCATGTATGCGTGGACTTTGTTCTCCCAAAAAAACAGAGAATAGCGCCTAGCTCATAATAGATGCTCAATAGATGTGTTGAGTGAATGAAAGGAACAGCCTGTGACAAGGACAGGGGGAAGGCCAAGCCCAACCACAGTGGTAGTGTGGCCCTGCCCTGGCTTGTGCACCTCAGTTCTGGTGTCCCACTTTTACCACCACCTTCACAGTGAGACCTTGGTGTTTCCGGAAAGTGAACTTTCGGGTAAAAGGAACAATTCAGTGACCATTGATGAGACAACTGTCAGATGCGGTTGGAAAAGGGCTGTCACTGGCCCTCAATCTGGAACCATGGTCAGCAAGAGGGTCCCAAAATGGTAGATCTCTTTATCTTATGTTCCCTTGTGAATCATCTCTCTTCCCAGAGACCCCCTGGATATGTGCTGTGGCTGTGAGGAAACAGGGAGAGGTGGGCTCAAGGGTTTATTCTTCCCCGTGCAGACCTGGGCATTGCAGGCAGGTTGGAGCCTTTGCGGGTGTCCAGTGGGTGTGCCTGCAGGAAGCTTGCTCCCATCGACACCAAGGGTTTCTCCTCTTCCCTGCCCCCCACACAAGAAGCTGCTGAGCTGTTTGCTCTTCCCCACAGTGGTGTCCTGTGGCCATCCAGGCTCCCCGCCTCATTCCCAAATGTCCGGAGACAGCTATATCGTGGGGGCAGTCGTGCGCTACAGCTGCACCGGCAAGCGGACTCTGGTGGGAAACGCCACGCGCATGTGCGGGCTGGATGGACACTGGACCGGCTCCCTCCCCCACTGCTCAGGTAAGGAGCTTGGCACTGGGAAGGGGTCCTAGGGAACACAGGCTGTTGGAAGGTGGACTAGCTCCCACCGCGTGAGCATGCCTGATGGGTGGGAACCCTGCTCCTCCCCTGACAGGTGGAGAGGGCAGCGAGAAGAGGTCCTAAATGGACTTCAGCCCTGGATGGTCTGAGTGCAGTTCACCACCTTGGTCAGTTCTGGCCATGCCCATACAGTCAAGAGATTGCAAAATTAGGAAGCACACAACTTTGTGAATTCACACTCCTATCCAGACACTTGACTTCATGAGCTTCTGAAAGTAGTCCAAGACTTCCTGATAGTTATCATTTCTTAATGTTAAGAACTTTTAAAACCCTCTTTCAGCCATTTTGAAATATACAATATGTGTAAGGAAACATCACATTTTACCCTGTAAATATGCATAATGATTACTTGTCAATTAAAAATAAAATAAAACTTTCTTAAGAAGTCAGAGAAGATACACAAAAGCCCAGGTTCAAGCTGAGCTATTGAGAAGACAAAGTCATGCTAAGAAATCTGGGCTTTGTCCTGTCAGCACTGAGCCAGTACAGGTTTCTGCAGGAAAGATACAAGGTCAGATGATTAGTGGTTGCTCAGTTTTCAAGACTGGAGGATAAAGTGGAAGTTGGGTTAGAGAAAGAGTTTAAGAGGAACTTAGTTGGGAGGCTCCTGCAGTAGTTCAAGCTGAAAAATTTTGAACATCTAAATCAAGACCGTGGCCTAGAAAATGGAGAAGGGCACAGAAGCAACAGGTGTTGGTGAGGAAGAGGGAAAAGGAGCCACTGGAATTCCAGCCCAACATGGACCAAAGAACTCAGGCACATTCAGCTGTCACCTCCCTCATCCCAGGTGGCCCGCTGCTTCGCTTAGCAACAGCCCCATCTCCATCCCACTCTCCCTTTCATCCTCCACTCCCTTTCATTCCATGCAAAACCAGCAGCGTCTGCTTGGTTCTGTTCCACAGGCACCAGCACCGGAGTGTGTGGGGACCCTGGGATCCCGGCCCATGGCATCCGTCTGGGGGACAGCTTTGCTCCAGGCAGTCTGATGCGCTTCAGCTGTGAAGCCGGCCACGTGCTCCGGGGGTCGTCAGAGCGAACCTGCCAGGCCAACGGCTCGTGGAGTGGCACGCAGCCTGAGTGTGGAGGTAATGTATGTGACCGTTCTGCTTCTCCCCTTAGCCCAGCCCCAGCACGCCCCTGCTGCTCCCACTCCCGGCCCAGCACCCGCCCTCATAGGGAAACCCGTGGCCCCGCTCCAGCCCTGGGCCTGGCAAACAGGGAGTGGGCATCAACAGAGAGCTCGGTTCGTCTCATTAGTGATCCAAACACAAACACCCTCCCCTACACGGTGCAGGAGGAAGCCACGAAAGACTCACCCATTCAGTCCTCATATAGTTTCACTCAACAATTATGTGCAAATGCTGTGGTTCCTGCTGGGGACACAGGGGTGACTAAGACAGACACACTGCTATGGTCTGAACATTTGCTCCTTCTACTCCCACCTGTGCCAAAATTCATGGTGAGAACTGATCGCCATGGGGATGGTATTAGGAGGTGGGGATTGGGGAGGTAATTATGTCATGAAGCCAGAGCCCCCATGAATGGGAGAAGAGCCCTTATAAAAAGGACCTCAGAGAACTCCCTTTCCCTTCTGCCACATCAGGACAAAGCAAGAATATACCATCCCGAAGCCAGATAGTAGGCTGTCCCCAGACACTGAATCTGCCAGCCCCTCTATCTTAGAGAAGCCTCCAAATTACTGTGAAAGTAATTTCTGCTGTTTATGAGCCCCACCAGTCTGTCGTATTATCACAGCAGCTGAACTGACTGCGACACAGCCCGCTCTCTCAGAACTTGAAGTCCAAGGGAAGAGACTATGTTAAATAAACAGGCAAAATGCCAAAAGAAATACAAAGAAAAAATTTTAAAACCCTTTAAAAGTCATGTGGTCCCTCAATGATGTCTTGGAAGGTCACACCATTGGGAGAAATTATATTTTTCCACACACTCCTAAATTTCTAGGGGATGGGGAATCAATTCTAAAAGTTCTCTTGGTAGAGTCCCCCTTTTATGGCTAGTACTCAAACAGCCTGCATAGGACTCTTGTAGGCAGAAGGTGAGTTGAACAGCCAGAGTGAGGTTGAGGAGAGAGGAGTGGTATGAAATGACCATCTAGTAAGGTAGTGTGGGGACGGGAAGGGAAGTCATTGCCACAGCGCCGAGGCCTTACTTAGGGTCAGTAATTCAAAGTGAGAGCAGTCAGCTCCAGGCTGTTTGCCCAACTGTGTTTTGCCACTTAGGTGAAGGCAGGGTAGACGGTGTGTTGCGTTTGAGGTTGGGGTTTGACCCAGGGGCTGAGACATTGGCAGAAAGGGGCAAAGCAAAGGAGGCTGGGTGTATGTGGGCAGTAGTTATGAAGGGCCTTGGCATCTAATGGGCAAGGAAGGAGATTTCTGAGTGGAGTAGGAGACAGAGAAAAGTAGGCTTGTCAGTCCCCAGAGGACCAAAAACCTCAGGAAAGAACTAGTCCCAGAGGAAGAGTGGAGAGGCAGCAGGCACAGAGCAGGCTACTGGGAAAGGCCATGGAGCAGTCCTGCGAGGGGCATCCTGGCGTAAGACCTGGGGACACCTGCCCAGGAAAGGAAACATGGATTCAGGGCCCCTCCCACTCATCCACCCCAAAATCCTTCCTTACCTGATATGCTATTTGCAAAGTTAGTTTCTGTAGAATTCTGTAGGCGAGTCAAAAGAGGGATTCTTCAACATCCCCATGACCTATGTCCTATGTCCTGTTTAATGCATTCAGATTCTAAGCAGAGTCAGTTACCAGGTCAGGAGTGTTCAGGGTCAAAAACTGGGCAATTAAGAGTTTGGACCTGACAGTGAATGTTTTAGAGAGAGGGAAGGGGTGAGGAGAGAGAGAGAGAACATCTACAGCTCCTGTGTCTTCTCTTGAAAAGCTCCTACTTTTCCCTAAGGATTCTTATCTCCAGCCCCAGTTGGCTACTCCTTTCTTAGTGCTCCCTACTCCCATTTAAATATGACACTTATTATGTCATATTTCATGTTTTAATTCATCTGATTATAGGTAGGTTTCTTTTTTTCATTTTTTTTATTGGTTGTTCGAAACATTACAAAGCTCTTGACATATCATATTTCATACATTAGATTCAAGTGGGTTATGAACTCCCATTTTTACCCCATATACAGATTGCAGAATCACATCGGTTACACATCCACATTTTTACATAATGCCATATTAATAACTGTTGTATTCTGCTACCTTTCCTATCCTCTACTATCAAGGTAGGTTTCTTATTAGACTACGCTCCTCAAGGGCAGAGGACACTATATTGTAGGCTCATGTACTCTGGACTTGTAGGCAGCACAGGTATTTGTTGGATGAATGGATGTCAAAGCCTATTGTGCCCATTATACAGGAATCATTTTGTAGATTTTAATTTGTGACTACATAAATGTACATACTTACAAAATTAAATTTCATCTTAGAGACATGCATTCTCTCAATATCAAAATCTTAATAGGAATAAGAGAACCTAACTATATATCAAGTTGGTGATTAAATAACCCAGAGAATTATTTCAACTAGATTGAAAAAAAAAAGTGAAATTTGTTATGGTATATAGCCCAAGGACAAAGAATTGCAAAGAATTCTTCAGCTGTTTTTAGCAATCAGCAATCATACTGTTAGTAACCATACTGATATTACTATTCTAAAAATATCACATCTTAAATACTTTAATATATATGGGATAAAGTAAACACATACTATTTACTGTTACTAAGAACCAAGATTTGGGGCATATAAGAGCTACAATATAAAAATAAAGAAATCAAGGAAAAATCTCATTCTAAATTTGGGCTGGCAATATCAATATAAACTCTTAACATATTTTCAGTTTAAATGGTCATTTTTCCAGCTCTAACCACTGTAAAATCTAGATTCAATGACTGCATCAGTAGTAAGATTAGTTTCAGTGTCCATACTGTGGTCTATAAACCCATTCTCCATTGGAAAGGAACCAGGTTCTTTGGAGAAATATTTGATTCTAGGGCTAAGGCAAGGAATATATAAGATAAACACAGGATATCTTATCACTCCAGCAAAGAATCCACCTAAGATAACTGGGGTCATGTGAAAGGAACCCAGGAGCCAACTAGAAGACTCCTATTGGCCAAAGATGGGATAATGTGAGCATTGATAAGAATAATAATGACAATGGATAACAACATGGTAAATAGATTTAAATCCATAAGTTCAAAATGATTCCTAAATAAACCTATCAGACACCTTTGAAACATGCTAGGAAACAAACTCGTTATTCTGATGTCTGATAAAAAGAATCAAGCATTATCTGATCTTCCCCTATGAACCATATTTCAGGGTAAGCAAATATTTGATGATGTGAAATTTCTTTATTAAAGAACTCTCATGCAGAATTAGAATATCACCATTTTCTAACCCTTAAGAAATAATGAATCTGGTCAGTGATCAGCAATTGCTGCTAAAAACCATTAAGTGAAAAATTAAGGGGAACTTTTGTAAAACCAGATTAGACAAGCAAACCTGCAACCCTTGATTAGCTTCAGCATCATGAAGAAGAAAGCAACTACACAATTCTGCGCCTTCCAATCTAGTGCATCAGGAAAGAGAAAGCCACCTAAGGACCTTTGCCAAAATGTAGAATGCAATGTCAGGGAGCTACAGGGGACAGGAACATCTTAAAGGACACCTCACCAATGCAGTTAGCAAAGTCCAGAAAGTGCACAGTTCTGCAGACAAGATCCCCTGGTTTCTATAACAAATCCATTATAGGAGGGGGGAACCCTAGGCTCTGGGTTCAAATTCTTAGAGATGTGCCAACCAAATGCCCATGGATGCCTTATCTGGATCCTGATTCAAACAAAACAATTGTTAAAAAAAAAAAAAAAGAGGGAGGGGCTGGGACTGTAGCTCAGTAGTAGAGCACTTGCCTTGCACGTGCGAGGTACTGGGTTCAATCCTCAGCACCACATAAAAATAAATAAATAAATAAAGATATTGTACCAGCTACAACTAAAATAAATTTTTTAAAAAGAGAGGGAGAGAAGGAGAGAGAGAAAGAAATGAGAAAAGTTGTTAAGCACTGATAGAATATTTGGTAATATTAAGGAATACTATAAAATTTTAAGTACAATCATAAAATATATAGTCTTTTTCCTTTTTAAAAAAATACAAAATTTTTAGAAATAAAAAAACAAACAAACATATCTGTCCCTCCTTCGCTTCCCTTCCAGAGGTGAGATGATCAGATGGGAAAACTGCAGGTGGGGCATCTCCATCCAAGGGTCCTTAGGTAGCATGGGATTTCTGTGCCAGGCAGTCCTCAGTCCCCTAGGTGGCACCACCATTGTCTGGTGAATAATGTGCTGTTTTGGCTTCCTAGTGATCTCTTGTGGGAACCCTGGGACTCCGAGCAACGCCCGAGTCATGTTCAGTGACGGCCTGGTGTTCTCCAGCTCCATTGTCTACGAGTGTCGGGAAGGCTACTATGCCACGGGCCTGCTCAGCCGGCACTGCTCTGTCAATGGCACCTGGACAGGCAGTGACCCTGAGTGCACAGGTGAGAGCCAGGCAAGCGGTGGCCCATGCAATTGGCCCTTCCTTGCTGAAGAAGTGGGTCCGTGGGAGGCTGGAAAAACTACTTGGAGGGGTGGGATTGAGCTAGAGTAAGACACATACAAATAGCTTCTGCGTATTGAGCATGCGTGTGTGGCAGCGAGGAGCCATGGGCTTTGTTTGATATGTATATGTCATTTGATTTTCTCCACAACCCCATGAAGTCGCTTCTAGTAGTCCCATTTCTGATATGGGATGACTGAGGCTCAGAGGGGTGAGAATATATACATTTCTATCTAGTTTGTGTAGAAAAGTAAAAGGAAAGAAATCCCACGCTACCTAAGGACCTTTGGATGGAGATGGCCACCTGCTGCTTTCCATCTGATCATCTCACCCCTGGAAGGGAAGGAGAGACAGAGACTTCAAAACCCTCAGGCTCAGCCCGATTCCCTTTCTGCTTTAAAGCTGCCACCATCCACCAACTTTATTCCTTCCTTCTCCTTGGGCCCATCCCCGATGTGGCTTGGCTCCTGAGCATTGGCTTCCCTTCCTCGCTCCTCTCAGGGGTCACCCAGACCCTTTTACCCGGAAAGTCAGACACAGTGGAGCCCAGATGGGAGAGAGAATCTGAAAACATTCTCCCTTCCTAAGTCCAGTCTGATTTCAAGCCCATCTGAAGTCTGTGTCAAGCTCTGAGACCAGCAGCTTATCAGATCCACCCTTGCTTGATACCACAGCAGAGATGTGACCATTGCTTCTAGGCCATTTGGCCTACAGAGGCCTCCTAGGCACAACAGCAGATGATAAGAGGCACTTGGTGGGCAAACTGTCTTATGTGGTCCACAAAAAGATCAGGCTCTTCAACCTAGAAATCCCCTCTCCCTGGGCCCCAGCCCCATTTAGGTGAGAGCCCTCTTCCTCTTGGCAGGATGGTTGTAAATAAGAGGGGTGATCTTTAAGGCCCAAGTTTCTGGGGTATGTAAAGATGGTGTGGGCAGGGATAGCAGGGATGTGGGGAGGCCAGTCAGGGAGATTTGACTCAGTGGACTTTATAATGGGCATTGCCAGGCTGGGAGGCTGGGAGGGCACAGGACGTCACTGATCTGACTCTTTTCCTCTTTGGACTCATGCAGGGAGTGGTAGGCATGGCGTTGGAATGCTTAGAAGTGGGGTGCAGGCTAGGAGTCAACCACACTGTCTCTCTCTTACCCTAGTCATAAACTGTGGTGACCCTGGGATTCCAGCCAATGGCCTCCGGCTGGGCAATGACTTCAGGTACAACAAAACTGTGACATACCAGTGTATCCCTGGCTACATGATGGAGTCACACAGGGTGTCTGTGCTGAGCTGCACCAAGGACCGAACATGGAATGGTACCAAGCCAGTCTGCAAAGGTGCGTCTGAGGGCTGAAGATGTGGACAGAGGGCCAAAGGATACACAAGTGAGACGTGGGCCTGGAGTATCTAGAAGGGAGGGAGAGCCCTACCATCCTCTGGGGAAAGTGTCCAAGGTGAGGACTGGTCCTGTATGAATATTGTCAGATGGGAGATGGAAGATACCAAAGTAAGGCTTGGATTTGAACATCAGTGGGAAGGTTATGCAGAGACAAGACAGGGTAGTCACATTTCAGATGCAAGATCAGAGCTCCTGCAGTAGGAGGGGTCCTTTCTGATTCTTTCTGCTTGGCCCAGACTCCCAGCTGGTGCAGGGGACTCAGTAGAATACATAATGGTGGGCAGGGGACTGATTTCCCCAGGATGGCACCAGAACTCCGCCTGCTCTGGTGTCCCCCTCAGCTATCATGTGCAAGCCGCCTCAGCTCATCCCCAACGGGAAAGTGGTGGGATCTGACTTCCTGTGGGGCTCCAGTGTGACTTACGCCTGCCTGGAAGGGTACCAGCTCTCCTTGCCAGCAGTGCTCACCTGTGAAGGAAACGGATCCTGGACCGGAGAGCTGCCTCAGTGCTTCCGTAAGTGGCTCACAGGGACCTGGGGTGCATCCTGTCTGATGGCTCCTTCCCTTCCATCCACAGAGCTTCACTGGGGGAAAGCCTAGAGTAAGCAGCTCCTTGCCCCAGACCAGGGAAGAGTTTGTCGCTACTGTCTGGAGTCACAGTGGAAAGGAATTAAATCAGATGAGGAAGGTGTTTCTTCACTTGAAGGGGGCAGTACTCAAAGATTTGGGGACAGTCAGTGCTAGGAACATGCCCATCTTTGTGGAAAATCCCTTGCGTGGAAAAGACTACTGAAGGTCCCTGATTTTCTGGTGAGATGCTACCTTTTATCCACCTGGCCCAGCTTTGTCCTGATGAGCTCCAAGCCCATTCCAGGACTGATTCCTGACCAGGGTCCCCAGAGAAGTAAACTGTGGGTCTCTTTTTTTGACAACCCCATGAATGGGCTCTGGAAGCTTTTCTTCTTGCCCATGCTTTGGATAAACAAACCTATTTTTCCTTTCTAATCGACATTTTTGTAATTCTGCAAATTACATGCTCATGACACTGTTTAGATACCTCTAAGATTTGTTTCAGTTGGGAATTTCAGCAGGGATTAGGGCCAGCAGCCCAAAAGTGGACATAGGCAGTTGGTTCATGGTTAATACCTCTGAACTTCACACAACCACCAGGGGACATTGAAAGTTCACTGAGTCTCAGCACTGAGTGTGGACTCAGCAACCTTGCTTTTCCTATTGAGAAAAATGGAGTTGCCAATATTTCTTTTTAACAATGTATGATGGGGACTGCGGGGGTGGGGGTGGCAGTATAGCTGAGTGTCAGAGTGCATACTTGGCATGAGTGAGGCCCTGGGCTCAATCCCCAGCGCACGCGCACACACACACACACACACACACTCACAAAGCAAATAATGAATTAAGGCCATTGTAAAAGAAAATTGTACTATATTAGAAAATAATATTTCTCAAAGATAAACCATAGTCAGGCTTGGATTCTGCCTCCACATGGATCACATGTATTTTTCATATATAGTGATACACACACAAGTCTCTATAAGCGGTGTTGGATCATGCTGTACATGTTATTTCATGACTTGTATTCACTGATGAGCCATAAGGACCTTTCCCTCAATACCTCTCTCTATTAGTATATGCAGATCTATGCATCATCATTTTTAATGGCTTTAAAGAATTTCCTACACCACACCACAGTTTGCTTAATCTCCTCCCATTGGTGATGAATTTAGATTGTCTCCAATTTAATCATGTTAGACGTAGTTCTGTAGTAAATATCCCTGCAAATAACTTTTCTTCACTCTCATCGAAGAGTCTTGGGAGTGCGATTGCTGGGCCAGTGGGCAGGCCCCTGTACTTCCTGACACGTGTTGCCCTGAACTGCCTTCTGGAAAGAGCATCTTCATTTACATTCCACCTGCAATTTCAGCAATGGTTCTTTTTTTAAACTTTTTTTAGTTTTAGGTGGACACAATATCTTTATTTTTTATTTTTATGTGGTGCTGAGACTCGCACCCTCATCAACAATGGAGTTGCCAATATTTTAAAATATCTACAAGCCCGTGGAGTTTAAAAAGATATCTCATCCCTTTAATTGTATCCCATTGCTTGTTAGACAGGCTGAGCGGATCTTTGTCAGCCTTTGCATATCTTGTTTTTGGAGTTGTCTCTTCCAGATATTACGGTATCTAGTCTACCCGGCTTCTAGCTTGCTTCTGATTGGTCAGCTCAGAATCTCCAATTTCCAGGGCATAGGCTACAGGTTCATCTTGCATTTTATCTTGCTTGTGATAGTGAACCTCACAGCTGTGTGTGCACACATGATAGCATAAAGTGATGTTTGTAGTGATGCCACAGGAGCTTTGCCATGGCATTGGACCTGGGACTTTGCAGTTGCCAGGAAAGCACTCTACCACTGAGCCACATCCCCAGCCTGCTGGTTGTGAATTTTTTTTTTAACCTTTGCTTTTTTTCTTTATTTACTGGCTAATGCCATAATTTCATTCTTCTTTAATGCCGAGTAACTTTCCATTATGTATATATACCACATTTTCTTCATCATTCATCTATTGAAGGGTACCTAGAATGGTTCCATAGTTTGGCTATTATGAATTGAGCTTAATGATATTTCTGATGTTAATATGAACTCAGTGGAATGGGCACACTCATACACACCTGCCACAGTGTAAATGTCAACCTTTTTGAAAGAAATTTGACACTATACCTCACTGAGACCATGCTCAAACCTTTGAAGATAAGTGCACTCCTACAAATGCTCTTAAAAAGATAATATGTGTGGAAGGAAAGTCATGTATAATTTTATAATAGAAAATGCCTAACATCAGAGTTATGATAAAATGTAATTACAGTTGGGTGTAGTGGCAAATGCTTATCATCCCAGCTACTTAGGAAGTTGCTGAGGTAGGAGGATTATAAGTTCAAACTCAGCTTCAGCGACTTAGCAAGACCCTGTCTCAAAATAAAAAGGGCTAGGGATGTGGTTCAATGGTTAAGTACACCTGGGTTCATTCCCTAGTATCTTCCAGAAATGTAATGACAATGTAACTACCCATTGCAAAATTGTGTAGCCAATAAAGGATGATAATTTTATAAACATAGAAAACATTTGCAGGATGATATTAAGTGAATGAAACAAGATTGCAGTCATGTGGGTACTGAGTTTGTAGCCAAACACAGATATACATACAACCAAATAAGGAATGGAAGGGGATATGCACTTTTGTTTTTTCCTTTGCCATGCGGGGGATTGAACCCACAGCCTCAGCGTGCTAAGCATGGGCCCTACCACTGAGCAACACCCACAGCCCTGCCTCCATATTCTGAACTCCCTGAGATGTTACTCCTTTACTTGGACAGTGATTGCCAGGCTCTCTGAGTGTGCAAAGGACAGGAGATTAGCAGTTGCAGCAGAGACAAGTGGAAGCAGCTGCAGTCCCAGAGTTCAAGTGGAACCTGGAAGGACACAGAACAAAGGCAGAGCCAGTGGACAACTGGGCTTTAGAAAGTAACTGAGACCCACTTTCCTCCCCTGTCTTCCCAGCCGTGTTCTGTGGCGATCCTGGGGTCCCGCCCCGTGGGAGAAGAGAGGACCGAGGCTTCTCGTACAGGTCATCTGTGTCCTACTCCTGCCACCCTCCTCTGGTGCTGGTGGGCTCTCCACGGAGGTTTTGTCAATCAGATGGGACATGGAGTGGCACCCAGCCCAGCTGCATAGGTGAGGGGGCTGTGGGGCTGAGTGCGGGGCTAGGCAGTTGGGGGGGCAGTCATCTTTGCGACCTGAGAGGCTGTTTTCCCTTTCCCGTCTCATCTGCAATAAGGAACAAGTCCTCCTCCTTCAGGTTTCTTGGAGGAGGATGAGAAATGGCCAGAGTTAATGTCTTGGGGATTCAGCATTCAACTGGGGCTCTGGGGCAGGCAGAGCCTCAGAAGGCAGGGGGCATCGGGATGTGGCTTGGTTTTCTACATTCGTCTGTCAGGGTGACTGCCACGGTGAAAGTGTGGGTGACCATGTGGCCTGCTTCTTTGTTTGGGCCATCCAGATCCCACGCTGACCATGTGCGCGGACCCCGGAGTGCCACAGTTCGGGATACAGAACAATTCCCAAGGCTACCAGGTAAGGAGGTCAGCCAAGATGGGGCCTTCCTGCCTCCTGTCCCTTCCTGTCACAGTCAGCATCAGAAGACTCAGGGACCTTCTTGGGGACAGCACCGGGGCAAGACAAGACTTGAAATTGGAGGAAAAAAGTGTTCTGCTTTATTGAACCCTTCGAAACTGGAAGAGCTCTGTCCACCAGGGAGGCAGAGGAGGCAGGCGGCTTGCAGGGCCGTGAACACTCCCCGCAACCCCAGAGTTGGGGTGGGTGTTTGTGGAAATACTGAAATGTGTGAGGCAGACAGACCTCCTGTCCTCAAGGCACCCGCACCCTGGCCACAGACACAGCTTATTCTGGGTGATGGGAACCAGCAGGGGCCACCCCAGAGGCATGTCTGCCAGCAGGCAGATAAGTGCACTCCTAGAAATTCTCCCAAGAAAATAATACACCTGAAAGTCACGTGTACCTTTATAATAGAAAATGCCTAACATCAGATTTATGATAAAATGTAATTACAGTGCAACCGCCATTGCAAAATTGTGTAGCCAATAAATGATAATGATGTTGTAAACATAGAAAATGTTTGCAGGATGATATTAAGTGTATGAAGCACCTGTGAGGATGGAGGCCCCTCACACATTTCAGAAGGAGCTATGGGAGGAGGAGTCTTGGATGGCCTGGGGTGGGGGGGATTGAATGGAGGAAAGGAAGCAGAAAGGCAGGGGGTGGACAGTTAGCTAGAGCCCAAGACACGCCCAAGAAGGTGTCAGGGACTAACCTGGGAAGGACAGGCTGGGCCCTCACCGGGTGACATCACTTACTCCTTCAATCTGTGCGGCAGCAGATATTCACTGCCATGAGCAGTTCCAGATGAGGAGACTCGGGGTGAGTAGGCAGGCGAGGGGCTTGCCCTGATGGAGCTGCCCAGATGGTGACAATAATCCAACTACCAACATCACTTCCATGAGCGCCAAGCATCACATAATGTGGTATAAGGGGGCTTGAACAAGGTGGTCATTATTTTAGGTAGGGTAGTTAGGGAAGAGCCCTCCTAAAGGTGACATTTGAACTGCAGCCTCCACAATGAGAAGGGCAATCCTGTGCAAAGCTGGGTGACACTCCTGTCTGAGCCAGGGCCAGAGCACAGGATCTCCGAGGCAGGAAAGGGCTTATCAGGGTGAGGGTGGACAGCAGGCCTCCAGCCAGTCTGCAGCCCAGTAGGCGAGGAGGAGAGGTGAAGTCAGAGGTCTGGGCTAGGTGTGGAAGCTTCGGTGGCTGCTGAGGTTAGACACAATACACCTCACCAGAAGTTTCTGTGTGGTCCAAAAGTTCCACTCCTGGAACTTTTTTATTGCCCAGAGACAAGTCTTGCACATGTCACCAGGGAATAAGAAAAACTGTAATATAATCATAGAGTGGATTATTACACAGCAGTGAAAATGAATGCACCACAGCTCTACGTAACACGGATGCATCCTGGAGATGCATCATTAATGACAGCGGTGATGCAAGATGAAAACTAGTAAGACTAATTAAACTGTTTGGAGATGTATTACACATTGATGGGATAGGACTACTATTAACAGGGTAAGGAAAAATTCAGGAGAGTGGTTACCACTGAGAGGGACTCAAGGGATGGGGCAGAGAAGGAGCAGGGGCTATGACCACCATGCCACAGAGTTGAGCCTTCAGTGGCACAGTGGTTCCACTCACGGAGCTCATTCTGTGATCACACGCCCTGTCCCCATCGGTTCCCGGAATCCTTTGTACGTCTCAGATAACTCCTAACAATTTTTGCAAGGAGGGGGCCTGGACCAGGTCATGCGGGGCCCTGAAGCCAATGTCATCTCCTGGGTTTTATTTGAAAAGTCTCAGGAAGCAACATCATTTGAAAGACCACTTGGGCTGCCGAGTTGAGACTGAAGGACAGAGGGGGCAAGAATAGAGGCACTCAGACAAGCAGGACGCTGTGGAGGTGACTCACGAGAAAAGTAAGGGTAAGGGTGAGGTTGTGAGAGCTCAGGGACAGCAGGGAGAGACATGGAGCCTTCGGGGCACAGTGTCCTTCCACAGAGCTAAGAGGACCTGACCATGGGTTGGACTGAGGCATGGAAAGAGTCAAACGTGACTTGAGGTTTCTGATTTGCACAACTGGGTGGATAAAGTTGCCGTTTGCTGAATCAAATGAGGAAATCTAAGAGGAAGACAAGTTGGGTGTGGAAGGGAGTGGAAATCACGGAGTTTCACGTTGCACTGGAATTTGCTCCAGGAGGTAACAGGAACACAGGAGCATCTGAGTGGGAAGTGGTACCTTCTGAGTTGCCGTGTAGGAAACTGATGTGGTCACAAAGTGGATTGGAGAGGGGGAGGCGGGGCTGGTGGCTGCAGGAGTGTGGAGGGGGACAGTTAGGAGCTAGTGGAGGTGACAGTGGGGAACGCAGCTGAGCAGGGGAGAAGCGGAGGGAGGGGCTATTCTGTGAGTGAGATGTTCAAGAAGCCCAGAGCCCTGCTGGGGGAGGGACATCAGTAAAGAAAGCAAGTCTCCCATCCTTGGGGAACTCACCGTTTCATAGAAGAAAGGGACACACTCGGGCGGTGATCTGTACACCATGTTTTCCATCCCACCACCGCCTCATTTGAGAGTCATCCAGGCAGAGTCACCCAGGGTTGCAGGAAGAGGCAGCAGCGTGGGCAGGTGCTGGGTCAGGGCGAGAAAGCAGCAGGTGACAGGTGTCACTGGCTGGAAAGGGATGACGGGACCCTCTGTCCTTGCCACAGGTTGGCAGCACGGTGCTCTTCCGTTGTCAGAAAGGATACCTGCTTCAGGGCTCCACCACCAGGACCTGCCTGCCCAACCTGACCTGGAGTGGAACTCCGCCCGACTGCGTCCGTGAGTGCAGCCCCCACCTGCGTCCCCCTGCCCGCGGGCACCTGGGAGATGCGCTGAATGCTCTGAGTGCCCTGAATGGCAGGGAGCTTTCTGCCTCTGTCCCCACCAGTGCCGACCTCTTTGTGGTGTTTGCCCCCTGGGGCTTCACAGATGTCTCCACACAAAAGCCTTTCTGGAATTTGAAGGCAATTCCCTGCCTTCGCAAAGCAAAATCTGTCCAGTGGCAGCAAAAACTAAGTACAAGGCCCGGCCCTGGGGGTCCGGGGATTTCAGGCTCTGACCACAGTGACTCCATCTTCCCGCAGGCAGTGCTGCAGGCTTGGATTCCTCCAGGGCTGGCCAAGCCATCCGCCACGCGATCTCCATCTTGGCCATTCCTAGACACCAAGTCTGGGGCTGGGGAGGAGTCTGAGGAGGGGGTGCTGGGCAGGAAAGGACCCAGAAGGGAAAGGGAGGGAATGTTCCATCTGGAACCGGAATGGTGGAGGAGGCCCGCGAAGACCCCATCTCCTCAGGTCTAACTAAGTCTCTCCTCCCGCCAGCCCACCACTGCAAGCAGCCGGAGACACCAACCCATGCCAACGTCGGGGCCCTGGACCTGCCCTCCATGGGCTACACGCTCATCTACTCCTGCCAGGAGGGCTTCTCCCTCAAGGGTGGTTCCGAGCACCGCACCTGCCGGGCGGACGGCAGCTGGACCGGCAAGCCGCCCATCTGCCTGGGTGAGTGAGCCGGCCCAGAGCCCCCCCGGGTGGGAGGCCAGAAGGGACTCTGTGCTTGGGCTGAAAAGGTGAAAGGAAGGAATAAACGGGATTTCCAGGAGCCGGACCCTGGCTCAGATTCTGCGAGGCACTGTGTCTCCAGGAGACCACCCCAGAGCAGTCTAAGGAGGCGCCTGGCGAACCCCAAGGCTTAGCTCGCCACCTCTGCACATTGCAGGGGCAGGCGCATCACCAGTCACAGAAAAGGTCACTCTTCCACCAACTCAGAAGGACACATGACATAGATTATAAACTTGATGAAACGGTACCCACCCAAGATGGCCAGGACCCCCCACACACCTTGTTACTTTTTTTAACTAATACATAAAAATAATGCACATTTCTGAGGTCGCATGTGACATTTCGGTACATAGACACTGCATAAAGTTCAAGTCAGCAAACATCTCTGTCCTCAAGTGATCACCAGCCCCTCCCTCTTCTCCATCCACAATTTCTCTATTTCTTGTGCATCATCACTGTGCGGGATTCAGTGCTAGAGACACAGCCCTGCCCTGAAAGGAGCTCATACTTGACTGCAGAGAGACAGACGTGTTTTCAGGTGTAACAGTACCTTGAGGAACGTAGCGATGCCCTGAACACCGAGGGAACGGGGACGGAGGGTGCTAAACCTGGGGGGAGTCAGGGAAGGCTTCCTGGAGAAGGTGATGTTTGAGTCTGGCCTTAAGTGAAAGGGTCAAATATAGAGCATCATTTGATGCTGGAATAGAATTGAACTCTCTCTTATAGGAGCTGACCTCACCATATGCACTTTGTGTGGGTTAGCTCATTTAATCCTCATCATCCTATGAGTCAGTGCTGATCCCATCTATGTTTGATATATGAGGAAACTGGGGCACAGAGAGGTTAAGTCATATGCCCAAAGTCACCAGCTGATAAAGGAAAAGATCCAAACTCTGACATTCTAGCTTCAGGGTCCATGCCCTTAACTACTTAGCCATCCTGCCTGCCAAACAGACTTTCGATGATCAGAGTCTTGATCAGAATAACATTGTTTTATTTTCATTGTATGGATTATTATAAATTTTATTTATAGAAAGCAATATTTGCTTTTTAAATTGAAGTGACACACTTGTGCATATGTACGGGGCACATATTTTGGGGAACAGCATGACATTTATCCTTTCTATGTGTTTTCCACATGTGGAGATGATACAAGGGTTCTTTTTAAAAGTATATTCATTATTCATTTTTTGTTGTGGCAAAATTTACCAAACATAAAATTTTAAGTACACAATTCAGTGATATTAGATACATTCACGATATCATTCAACCATCACCACTATCCATTTCCAGAACTTTGTCATCATCCTGAACAGAAATTCTGTGCCTATTAAACAATATCTCCCATCTTCTTAGCCTGTGGTAACCTCTGTTTTACTCTCCATCTCTGTGAAATTGACTGTTCTAAATATCTTGTGTCAGTGACATCATACAACATTTGTCCTTTTGTGCCTGGTTTATTACACTTGGCATAATGTAGTCAGCATTCATCCATGTTTTGGCAGTCTCAGAATCTCATTCCTTTTTAATGGCTGAATAATATTTTATGATGTGTTTATATTATTTCATTTTGTTTGTCTATTCATCCATTGATGGACACTTTGGTTGTTTCTACTTGGCTATTTTATGAAAAATTCTGCTGTTAACAAATGTTTTGTGTGAATATTTTCAATTCTCTTGGGTAGACATCTACAAGTAGAATGTGGCATGTTGAGAAGCTGCCAAGCTGTTCTCCACAGTGCCTGCACCATTTTGCATTCCCAGCAGCAAATATACCCAGGTTCCAATTGCTCTACATACTTGCCAACACTTATTATTGTCCATCTTTTTTAGCATAGCCATCCAAAAAGGATGCCAAGTGGTGCCTCATGATTTTAGTTTTTTCATCCAATTAATGCTTCATTTTTCATTGACAAATAAATATTGGTATGTGTACAACATGATGTTCTGACATCTGTATATGTTGTGGAATGGCTGAACCAAGCTAATTAGCACTTAAAAACTACTCTTAGCAATTTCATATATACAATACTTTGTTATTGACCTGCTCACCACCACATACAGTAAATCTTGAACTTGTTCCTCATGTCTAACTGAAATTTTGTACCCTTTGACCAACATCTCCCCAACTCCACCTGCTCACTGCCCCAGCCCCTGGGAACTATCATGTTCCTTTCTGCTTCTAGAGTCTAACTTCTTTTTCTGTATGATTATAAAAAGAAGTGAGCTCATGCAGGAGTTACTTAGCTTATTTCACTTACTGTCCTCATGTTGTCAGGACAACATCTCCTTTTAACAGGCTGAATAGCATTCGTGTGTGTGTGTGTGTGTGTGTAAAAATGGACAAGGGGGTTGATTCCATATCGTGTCTGCTGTGGATGATGCTGAACTATCAGGGGAGTGTTGGCATCACTTGGGCATAGTGACATCAGTCCCGCTGGGCAGATACCCAGGAGTGAGACCTCTGGATCATATGGTAATTCTATTTCCACTTTTTCTCCTGGCTACTTCAAGATTATGGTAGATACTGTTCCCCTAGTTATTTAACGCAGTAATAAAGAATCACATATATGGTTATCTCCTAAAGCCTCATTTAAAATTTAATAACTGTCACTGGTGCAATGGATTTCCTTTGCAGTTCTTTATTATTCTGAGATGGGGCCACACTCCTTGTCTAAGAAGCTGAGTCCAAAGCAGGTCTCACTCCAAAGAGGACCCACTGACCTCGTGTCGCACGGTTTCCAACAGAGTATGGACCAGAGGCTGATGCTGTTTTCTTCCATTCTCTCTCCCCAGCAGAGGTCCGGCCCAGTGGGAGACCCATCAACACTGCCCGGGAGCCGCCACTCACTCAAGCCTCCGGTATGCATGGTCCAGACCATTGGCTCAAGACGCCTGTGTGGTTTCTACTGCCTAGTGAGCCAGAAACATGCACACGAGTTCCAGTGGGAGGACACGGTTTCCCCACCTTCCTCCCCAGCTAGGCAGCCTAGAAGGAAGTGAGACTGAAGGAAGCAGAAACCTCATCAGAAGAGAGAGGCAGGGCCTCCCAGAAACACGTCCAGAGCTCTGAGCTCTGGCACCATGAGTTGCTCCCATGGCACAGGCTTAGATCCAGGTCCTGCCCAGGGAGATTCCTGGAAATTCTTACCTGTTTAAGATTGGTAATGTGTCTTTCAAAGTGTCATATCCAGAACTGATGGAATGACAGGTATGGCCTGACCAATGCAAAATTAATGCAGACTATCACATGCCTTTTTTGAACTTTCTACTTTTTTTAACCACTTGAGTTAGTCAGCTTGCTGTTACTGTAACAAATAAATACCTGAGATAGCTTGTGAACAGAAAAGGTTTATTTTGGCTCATGGTCTTGGAGGTCAGCCCATGAGTGATTGACCTCTTGTTTTGGGGACTATGGAAGGAGCAAGTTCATGTTGAGGTGCAAAAGAGAGATGAGAAGAGGAAGGGGAAAGGTCCCACAACCCCCTTCAAGAGCATATGCCCAGTGACCTAAACCCTCCCACTAGGCCTCACTTACTCCCAATATTGCCCAACTGGGGACCAGTCCTTTACCACGTGGGCCTTTTGAGAGGCACTTTATGTCAGCACGACCCATCCACTCTGAAACTCGGGATGATCACAAGAGAGCCAGAGCATTCGACCACCCTTCCCATGTGTTAGACATTGGGGGAAGAAACAGCTTCCTTGAGCAAGCTGGGATCCATCATCAGCTGCCCCCCCCTTTATGCCCCCAACACACAAATCCCTCTCACACCTGTTTCTCAATTCCTCTAGTTCCTGGGGATGTTTTTGCCAAGAATTCCCTATGGAAAGGGGCCTATGAGTACCAGGGGAAGAAGCAGCCAGCCATGCTCAGAGTGACCGGCTTCCAGGCTGCCAACAGCAAGGTCAACGCCACCATGATTGACCACAGTGGTGTGGAGCTGCACTTGGCTGGTAAGGAGGAGACCATGTCCACAAAGCAAGGTGGGTGGGAAGGTGGTGGGCTCCCATCTTCACCAGGAAGCCTACCATCTCACATCTCACAGGAGGCTCGTCCATGTGCCTGGTGGTCAGGGAAAGAGGGGATGTCTGTTCACCTTGACCACACACTAATGAAAAGGTTAGCTGACCAACATTAATAACTTCAGTGTGTAAAAAGCTCTTAGAAGAGAGAGTTCTATCCCTAAAACCAAACCAAAAAATGGGGCTGAGAATTCTCAGAAGCCCAAGTACACAGCAATCAATCAAAGAAAATGTATCTTTCGGCAGTCATGGAAAAAATGAACACAAAGTGTGGTTTTCCACTGACCCCATTAGCTCAGAGCTTTTAAAGTGATAAAGCTCAGCGCAGGTCAGGTCTAGCAAGAAGACCCAAGGAAAATATGTAGAGTCTAGAAGTGAGTTGGGCAATTCACGTCAAGGTCCTTGAAGGTGACGGGACTCATCAATTACATTTCTAACAGTTTTTATCATAGAAATTGATATGGATAGAGTCCAACACTTATTAATAAAGGAAGTTCTATTTAGAGGGTTCTTTTCTACAAAAAGCTAAAAATAGAAATTTTCCAAAAAATAAAATAATAGGTGTTATAATTATGTCATATCTGCTAGATAAAATACCATGTCAACCTCAGAGGGATTTGCACCCATTATAATGCGTTCAAAATCTGACTCCAGTTTTTGAAATTAAAAAATGTATTTGTAATAAAGAAAATTGGTATCATTTACAATGAAATGTTAACATTGGTTGTTGCTTAGTCATGAGATCAGGAGGGAATATTTTTTTTCCTTCATGTACCTCTGCACTTTTTTTAAAAAAATCTCCTCAATCTTCAATGTTTGTATAACCAGAAAAACTAAAAACCTTAGAAAGCAAGTGTTTCTTCGATAGATGATAGATTGATGAATGCACAAGTAAATGAGCATGCTGATACACGATCCTATGTGTTCATAGTCACACATACACACAGCCACATCCATTGATTTGTTCCAATACAGTCTTAAACACATTCATTTACCCCGCATGCATGCCCTCAGGTCTTCCTGCACCCACTGAACTCTAAGCATATCTATGTATTAATGGCAGACCAAAATGCAAAAATTCACATTCTCACGCGTGCATGTATAAACAGGATCAATCTCCACCCAGTAGTCTAGTTACTAACACATAGTTGCACACACTTGCACCTACTCACACTCAGCCCATACTAACATGTGACAGTATACTCACCTCCTCACAGGCATGCAGAGAATGTTTCCATTGATGGATACATGTGAAATTCACACCCATTTACCTGCAAATTTAGGTTTTGAGATTTTCATACTTCTTTCAAGTATACCACCCACTCTCCAAACTTTCTTTTCCCAGGATATTACAAGAAAGAAGATTTCCATCTCCTGCTGCAAGTCTACCAGATTACAGGGCCTGTGGAGATCTTTGTGAATAAGTTCAAAGATGACCACTGGGCTTTAGATGGGCATGTAAGTTCAGCAAATTGATCTCCATTCCCAATTCCCAGGGAGGAGGAGGAGGACAGAGAGTTATGGAAACTCCAGGGATCAACATGGAAACTTGGAGGTTCTCTGTGGGGCCAGGACTGGGAGCAAGGGAGACCTAGTCTGCTAATAAAGTGGGAAAAGGGAAAAAATTAAAAGGGCCAAAGGGTCACCATATCTGAGAGAGATGAGGAAGTTCTGCTTTTAGAGCAGGGTTAGAGGACATGGGTATAAGCAAGTTGAAGGTCATAGTTTGGTGCATGAGAACAGGAAGAAGGTGGTAAGTGGCAAGTGACTTTGAACATGTACTTGCAAGATGTGGACTGTGATTTTTAGCAGAGCTTGAGAGACCAGCACACGTAGGAAAGGTGAAACTTCCTTGCATTCTCTTTTGGGAGAGCATTATATGCTAGGGACTCCTCCAGGTGGAAGTCAGTCCCTGTGCAAGAGAAGAGAGATTCAGGACCAGGAGCAGCTGGAGCCTAGGCCAGCCAGGGAGTGTTTAAGGGGATAGCAGGGTAGGTCAGCCTAGAGTGCATTAGACAGAGGGTGTGCCCTGGGGATGGAGCAAGAGTTGGGAGGTACACCAGCAGCTAAGCATCCTCAAAGCCCACTTTAGCTGCTGAGGTCACTGTTTGAGCATCATGGAGGCAGAGGGAGAGGGAGCAGGAAGGATTTATGGCCTCTACTACCCACCTAAAACTAACAGCTATTGAAACTATGTTCAATTCTCCAAAGCACATTAATCTGCTAGGGATATTTTAATCATGTTTGTTCCATGATACTCCAAAAATTGGTTTCCATCACAGAAATAATAGCTTCTATGTATCTAAGACCTATAAATGTCCTGGTGCTTTAATTCCGATTCATTTAATCCTCCCAGTAACCCTATAACAAACTGTTATTCCCATTTTACAAATGAGAAACTGAGGCCCAGACCTCAGTGATCTGAACAGTAGAAAACAGAATGTTCTTCCTATATCATACCAAGTACATGCCCCCCCATACATACACACACACATCAGTGCCTTGGTGTAGGCAGAATCATGTCTGTGCTTTGAGCAGCAGGTTGGTAGGTGACACCAGCAAGAACCTATGATCATATCTCTGGCCTGACCTGGTGTGGCCAGCAGGAGTTCTAGATCCTTCTAGCATGCCTTGCATCTTGCGCTCTCTGCCCCCCACCATTGCAGGTCTCCTCGGAATCTGCAGGAGGTACCTTCATCTACCAAGGCTCCGTCAAGGGTCAAGGCTTTGGCCAGTTTGGCTTTCAAAGACTTGGTAACTAGCAATTGTCCCCTGGAAGTGTGGGCTCGTGGGGTGGGAGGGAAACTGTGTTCTGGGATAGAGGAGAGGACTGGCAAAGTTCAACATCCGAGACAAGGTTCTTAGCCTCTTTTGGATCCAGGACACCTCTGAGATCCTGACAAAAGCTATGTCACAACTCTCCAAACACCGATGCCTGGCAGTTGACCTCTGCCACACAGTTCCTCGCTCAGCCCTTGAGTTCAGAGTCCCGACTACAGGGCCACCAAGAGCCTCAGGCATCATCACTGCTGCCACAAAAGAGCAAGTCATCCTGGTTGGCATTGTCCTCATTTCAGATGAGAAAGCTGAGCGCAAGGAGGTGGCCCTTTGCTCCTCCCCAGCACCTTGACCCTGTGTGTTTCATGTCATCCTAGTCCAGCCTCCTCACTTCAGGGACGGCCCTGACCCAGAGCCTCAGGGCACCTGGCCTCTGACTGTCGCAGAGAGGGGCCCTGGCTTCTCAGGAGCAGTGGAGGCGGAGTGGGGTGGGGGTCATGGGTGCTCCAGAGTCAGCCCCACTCCCCGGGCACTGGGCCCCAGGGTCCCCTGCCTGCCAGGGCAATCCATTACATTTTTCCATAGCTCTGACTTCCAGAAATTTCTATTATAAGCAGAAATCTGCCTCCCTGTAGTTCCCCTGTTTGCTGTCCCTCTCCAGAGTTGTTTGAGTTCTGCCATCATGGACTGCATGGAATAAGACCACCCTCTTCCATGCAGCAGCCCTCAAACCTTGCCAAGTTCCCCAGCCCCCACAGTTGAGTCCACTGGGAAGACCTCAGAAAACTGGGGCTCTTGTTTGGGCTCCACAATGGACTCTCTATCCCTATACTCTCTTTTAGAGTTCTAGCCTCCTCAGTTAGGTGGGCAAGGACCAGAGTCGGCTTGTGGTCATCTAGGCCCTTCCAGCCTGAGGTGGGGAGAGGTGTCCTCCAGAAGAGGGAGCCTCAGCCCCTCCCCACATCAACCTGAGCTGTTCTACCTCACCTGTGCTGGGTTTTGGCTTCTGATAAAAGGCTTCTAAGGCCAAGAGAAGTATATAGAAACTTTCAAAGGGCTGCGTCCTTTTAAGGTCTTATCTGGGAACATGGCTAAGTCCTATGTGGAATGGCTTCCCCTGGATGGACACTGTCCCCAGGACATCATCTGGGCTCTTCTCAGGGGAATCCCGTCTTAGCTGGGGAAGGCAGACGCTTGGACTAAGTGCCACTTCCCGATGGTGTGCAGTGGGACCTTCCACCTCGGGCTGTGTCTCTGTGACTTGAGTGTTATGTTTTGGGACTTTGCAGACCTCCGGCTGTTGGAGTCAGATCCCGAATCCATCGGCCGCCACTTTGCTTCCAACAGCAGTTCGGTGGCGGCCGCCATCCTGGTGCCTTTCATCGCCCTCATCATTGCAGGCTTCGTGCTCTATCTCTACAAGCACAGGTACCGGTACCGTGGAGGAAGGGGACAGGAGCGAGAGCGGGGACCAGAGGGTGCCGCCCCGTCCCGACCCCACCCCCTCCCCAGCCCTCCCGCCTTCCTGGCCCGGGCTGTAACTTCGGAGAGGAAGAGCGAGCTCCTCGCCTCCACTGCCCACCTGTCCCCTTCCCTCCTCCCCTCCGGGCCCCGAGTCTCTCCGCACCTCCCTCCCTCTCTATGTCAAGGTCACTCTCTCTCATCCCCAGGAGAAGACCCAAAGTGCCGTTCAATGGCTACGCCGGCCACGAGAACACAAATGTTCGGGCCACATTTGAGAACCCCATGTACGACCGCAACATCCAGCCCACAGACATCATGGCCAGCGAGGCGGAGTTCACAGTCAGCACAGTGTGTACCGCGGTATAGCCCCCAGGCCTGGCTGCCGCCGCTGCCGCCACCGAGAGCCCCGCCTCCAGCAACCGGTGAGCTGGGCGGGGGAGGCCGGAGGAATGGGCGGGGCGCAGGCAGGAGGACTGGGCGGGGCGCAGGCACGCTTCTGCGCAGGCGCGGGCTCGCCCGGAGACGCACAGCATCCGGGAGCGCGGAGAGGAGAGGGCGGCGCCCTGAGCACAGATGTGCGTCTGGGGACTTGGCGGATCTAATTGAATCCCCACACCTCTTGTAAGATAGGTGCTATTGGAATCCTCGTTGCAGAGGAGAAAGCTGAAAGCAGGTGCTCAGAAATCAACAAACTTGACCTAGCTCACGCAGCTAAGAAGTGGTGCGGTCAGAATCCAGTCTCCAGCTCCATACGTTGGCCCACAAAGGGAAAAAGACCAAAGATGCAAAACACTATATTCTGCTGTATCTACCCCCTGCCTTCACCCCACCCTCAGTTTAGGAAGGTTAAAAAATCAAAGGAAAAGGTGGAGCTGACGAATTGTCTTTCATTCTCTCCCCTGTATTCCTTCCTGGCTTTGCCTCTCATGCTTCCACCTGCTGCCACCCCTTCTCCTCTTCTGCCACCTCTGCTGTGGCTTGTTTGTTCCCAGCTCCCCAAGGGGCAGGAAGGAGCGCCCCTGAGCACAGCGCCCGGTGCCCGTCTTCGTCTGTCTCTACGCCTGTCTCTGCCACTGCTGGGACTCGAGCCCACACCCTGCCACCATCTGCACCTGCCACCCTGGAGAGGACTCCTGCAATGCCCTGGCTTGGGGCAGTAAAGGAAGAGGGGCTTCAGACAGAGGAAGGAAGTTTGTGGATTGAAAATGGCCAAGCAGCTTGTGGATGTGCATGTGTGTGCACAGGCCTGAGCACATGCGCGCACACACCTCTCCTTCATCTGCAACCCATGGAAGAGACCACAAAGGCTTAAAAAAGAGAAGTGTGTGTGTCAGAGATGCCCCATGCCCCATGTCAAAGATGTTCCCCACAAACAGAAAAGAAATGAATACGGAGAGGTATAGTCAGCTCTCAAACCAACATGCCTTCCCTCTGTCCCATGTGTGAGGACACAGCGAATGCATTGGTGGGACACATCAAGGAGTCAGTGTGCAGATAGATACCAGCCATCTGCAGATGGATGATCCCATCTGCACAGTGACAGGATTGCCCCGAGGGCAGGGGGGAAATCAAAAATAGTTTGGTAATCATTTTTTTAAGTTTGTTTCAAACATAATTGTACTGAGTTCTAAACCCAGTGAATTAAAAGTCATTTGGCTCCTGGGTAGCCCCTGAAAAAAATGGCAAGCCAGAGAGAACAGGGCAGGATTCTGGCAGGGAACATCTGGCTGTCAACTGACCAAGAAAAAAGAAAACACATGTATGACTCAGATGGGTGGCAGGTCTGGAGGCAGCAGGGAGGTGCTGTAGATGACAGGAGAGCAAACCTGCCCCGGCACCCAGAAAAATGATGGCCACCACACACTGGGTTTCTCTCTGTGCCTAACACTCTATGTGTGTTATTTCTAGTTTGTACACACCACCAAAAGAGGATATATTACTCCCATTTTATAGATGAGAAAACAGACTCCTGGGAAGGTAAAGAGACATGAGCAACAACAGATTGAATAAGAGTAGAGTCAGGATGCAAATTAATGAATCTGACTCCAAAGTTCACTATACTTGCTGCCAGAAACCCAGGTTTAAAAGGTACACCAAAGAAAGGAGGTGTAGGTGAATCTCCACTAAAGCACTGTGGCCAGGTCTGGCAGACCAGGCAGGGGGCACCTGTGTCTAATTTTGTTTCTGCTCTCTCTACCTGGGCAGCATCAGGACAGCGACCTATTATCTCCAGTGTGTTGGAGATGTTGCTGGCCCCAGAAGCCCCTGACCACAGCAAACAAAGGGACCTAGCAGCTCTGAATCAAAAATAATAATGAAATGAATGAAAGTCACACTCTCTCCAGCTCCTTTCAGTGGGTTTGACTTATTTTGATAGTTTCATTGTGCTTGGGTTGTTAATGAATTTCATGTGTATGGCTGGGAAGCTCATGAGTTTAGAAAACAACGTCAGACATTTAGAGCCACTTTCTCTATGCTTGGGAAGGTCCCCATGGGCTCACTCCCCTGTGCATGTGTGACATGCCAGCCTTGGATATTGGTATAGCATATTGAAATAGCAAATAGAAATGAGTGGGAGTGGGGGGAGAGGGCCACCTGGTTTTTGAACCAGTTCTGAGTTGCAACAATTAAAAGATCTGACGGATTGATGTCAAGATGAACTAAAGTGAGAGGTGTCAATTTCCAGCAGATAGAATGGAGATGGGCAATGGCAGGAGCCCACTCCTGCCCACACTCACCCTGAGACCTGGATCCTGGGGCTGGTGGGGAAGGACCCATCCAGACAACACCCTCACACCCTCATTTCTTTCAGTCCCTGAAAACAAGTGCAGGAAGTTCTCGATGCTCCTTCCCCTTCCTATATTCTGCCACCCACTGGACTCCTCCTCCAGCGCTGGCTCCATTCCCTCCCTTGTGTCTCCTTGTAAAGTCCTAGGAGATGCTTGAGGATCACAGGCTGGTGGACACCCAGCACTCTGCTTTGCACCACCCTGTACCACCTCTGGCATTTTCTCCCCACCTCCAGAGGCCTGGAAGGGAACAGGGCAGATGAGGCCCTTGGCCCACCATTCACAACATACACCCACCACCGCCATCCCATGAGGAAAAAAAAAAAAAGTAAAACAAAAACAAAAAAAAAATCTTTTGTACAGAGATATATTTTTATTATACAAAGTTTGTACAGTACCAAAAAAGACAGAAAAAAAGGTGTAAATTTTTTTTCATTATTGTAGGTAAATGGTAGTGGAAGCCTTTTTTGTAAATGTAATAAAATGTATAAATATGGTTTTCAGAAATCATCAAGTGCTGTAAATATGTAATCTACACACCTTCTTGGCTTGTCTGCGGTATACACATTTAATTTATCTGTCTCTGTATATGAGGCTTCCCCTGGGGTCCTGCATTATGGTACTTTACTGAATTTGAAAGCAATTTTAAATTTTTTGAATTCAAATAAAATATAAATTTTTGCATTGGTTTTCTTACATTTTTATGGCCTCTTTCATGGCTAGGGGACAAGAATTTGTTGGGGAAGAGGAGGAAAGACATGTTTTAGGCTAAGATCCAAGAGTCGAGATGTGGAAATACCTTCTTAATTGCGTTATTTGGCCACTGCTGTGTTTGGAAACACCCAGCAAAAAATGACATATATAGAATTTTATATGTCCAAATGGATCAAAGATCTAAAACTATAAAACATTTATAAGACAACACAGGGGGGGAAGCTTTATGATACCAAAAGTATAGGCAACAAAGAGAAAAAATAAGGGCTGGGGTCAGTGGTAGAGTGCTTGCATATATATATAAAAGAAAAAAGAAGGTGCATTATATCAAAATGTAAAACCAAACAACAAAGTCCATAAAGTAACAGGCAACCTATAAAATGGGTGAAAACATTTCTAATCATATATATGATAAAGTATTAATATCCAGAATGTATAAAGATAGAAAGTGTGGAGAATATATAAGGAACTCCTACGAAAGTCTTGGTCATATCTCCAAAGAAAACATAGAAATGGCCAAGAAGGACATGAAAAGATGCTCAGCATCATTAATCACTGAGAAGTACAAGTCAAAATCATAACCTCACACCCACTCCTGCCAGGATGGCCATTTGAAAAGAAAACAGGTGTGGGCAACGATGTGAGAAAATTGGAACAGTTGTGCTCTGCTGATAGAAACATAAAATGACACAAACACTGTGGAAAACAACATGGCGGCCCCTCAAAAAATTAAAAACATAATTACCATATGATCCAGTAATCCCACTTCTAGGTATATGCCCAAAAGAAAGTGAGATCACAAAGAGATATCTGCATGCCAACATTCACAGTAGTATTATTTGCAATACCTCAAAGATGGAAGCAACCCAGATGTCCATCAGCAGATGGATGGAGAAACAAAATATGTGTGTGCACATATCAAATAGGATATTACTCAGGCTGAAAAAGAGAGATAACTCTACCAAGAGTGGTGGCACACGCCTGTCATCCCAGTGATTCCAGAGGCTGAGACAGGAGGATGGCAAGTTCAGCAACTTAGTGAGACCCCATTTCAAAATAAAAATATAAAGGGTTGGGGATAGCTCAGTGGTAAAGTGTCTCTCGGTTCAATCCCCAGTAACTCAAAAATTAAATGAATAAATAAAGTAAAAATAAGAAGGAAAAAAGGGAAGGAATTCTAACATGCTGCAGCACTAATAAACCCTGAGGATATTGTGCTAAGTAAAATAAAACAGTCACAAAAAAACATATACTGAGCTATTCCAGTTATATGAGTCCCATAGGGTAGTGAAATTCATAGAGATGTTTGAATGTGGTTGCCAGGGGCTGGGGGGTGAGGGGACAGGGACTTACTATTTAATAGGTATAGAATTTCAGTTTTATAAGATGAAAACTTCCAGGGATTGGTTGCATGATAATGCAAATTCACCAGACACTACTGAGCTATATACTTTAAATCATCCAGATGATGAATTTTATGTGTATGTTACCACAATGAAAAAAAAAGTTTTAATTGAATAGTGAAGCCCAGGTCAGCTCAGAACAAGAAACTGGGGACAACGAAGTTGAAGGGATAGGGTTTAGCAGGACTGTGGAGGTCAGGATAGAAGGATTGCCATCTGAAGGGCACTTGTGCAAAGGCAGAACAATCTATAGTAGAGAAAGACCCACCCAAGGAGGATCTTCCAGGCAAGACGTCACCAAAGGAACAGAGGAGGGAAAGGAGGCCCGGCCAGGACTTCCCTGGGCGTGTTGAGAGTTGTCATTTTATGTGGAGAGTTAGCGCAGATGATCTTCAGTTTTCTGGCTTCTACTAGCTTCATCTTTGCACTGTAATTCAGGTCCAAACCCCTGCCCACTTTTTCCCCTCAATTTATTGAACTTTCCCAGTTTCAGTAAAGGCATTTCATCTGAGGAATAATGTCTGGCATTTATCTCTAGCCCTCCCCTGGAGACCTAAGGTAGCTTGTCAGGGTTCAGGGTCAGGAACCAAACTGATGTAAAACATGTTCCTTTTGGATTAGAAGTTGGAGAGTCAGGCAGCCAATATCAAGTCTAAGTCCAGAATATTAATTCACCACAGTCATATAAAGCCTTACCAGAACATTTCTGAACACCTCCAAAAATCAGTCCAGAACAAATTTTTATAAGCAGAAGGGCACAGAAAGAGGGGACAAGTTCAGATCACAATGCCTGGGAGATGAGCTACACCATCTGCACAGAACCCTTATACAAAGAGAAGAGAGTTTTCTTGACCAACACATCAAAAGAGTATCCAAAAGGCAAGGTGGCATACACCTGTAATCTCAGCAACTTCGGAGGATGAGGCAGGAGAATCACAAGTTTGAGGCCAGCCTTAGACACTTAGCAAGGCCCTAAGCAACTTAGCAAGACCCTGTCTCAAAATTTAAAATAAAAACGACTAGGGGTGTGGTTCGGTGGGTTTAATACCCAGTACCAAAAAAAAAAAAAAAAAAAAAGAGAGAGAACCAAAGCCATCCCATCCCTCTAATAGAATCAGCCATTATTGCTGGTCTATGAAAATCCTACACACTTATTTTTTCATGAAGAGAGTAGAACATTCACATATCTTCAAAGTTTCTATAAGAATCAGACAGAAAATGAGTAGCTGAACATTTTAACTAATTAAAATATTCTCCCCAAAATAAAGGGAAGGAATAGATCTTAAGTGTCCCAATATTAATTGAATTCAATTAAATAAGCAATTGAAATATTAAAGCATAACACAAATCAGAAGTTCAAAAACTCAGAATATAAATGGACACACAACAAAAAGTGAAGTAAGAGCTTGTCAAAGAGGACAAACATGTTTTAGAAATTAAGACCAGATTTACAAAGTGTCCAAGATACAGAAAGAAAGCATAGTAAAGAAAGATCAGCTAGGAAGAAAATTAAAACATTAAAGAAAATAAAAATTATTTGAAAAAGTAAAAAGGATGTGAAAAGTGAAATGCAAGAAAGCGGACCAATGTATGCACAAGAGGAATCCCTAAAGAAGAAAGCTAAATAAAAGGCACAGTATTCATGTTTTAGATGTGCTCCAAAAAAACTTTCTAGAACTAAAAGAAAAGCTTGACCTATAGACTAGAAGACCCCCATGTTGCTGGGGCAATTACCCTGGAATGGTCATATCCCATAAAACTCTGGGCCTCAAGATTTAAAAAGAAGTCACTTGTAAAGGGCAGAAAACCAGGGCTGGGGATGTGGCTCAAGTGGTAGTGTGCTCACCTAGCATGCATGAGGCACTGGGTTTGATTCTCAGCACCACATAAAAATAAAATAAAGATATTGTGTCCACCTAAAAAACTATTTTTTTAAAAAAAGGCAGAAAACCAGGTTGTCATCGGATTTCTTCTTAAATAAAGCAAATGGAAGGAAAGAAAGAATGAGCCAAGGATTTCATGTGTAGTGATTTTTAAGCACCAAAACTAAGAAAACACAGCATTAAATATCCAAGAGCTCAGGGCTCTTTTCTTTGGCAGCCCTTCCCAGAGAATCTACTACGGAAAGGACAAGTTTCATCCTACTCTGGGATAATTGGGGAATTTCAGCAAGAATTGAATATATTGAAATCTAAAGTGAAGATAAAGGCAGAAAAACAGTATTTTAATGTCATAGGTTCCAACAAAGTAGAAATACCATGATTTTTTGATGGAAAGAGAAGGGAGAGAGAAAAGGGTAAATAAAGTGAATGTTACCATCAGTTGCCACATAGATAATAGGTAGGAGTCAAAAGATATTTAAAGGACTTGGCATAATTGACATTTTAGGCCAGATAACGTTGTGTTGTAGTTGAGGGCTGGGCTGTCCTGTGCATCACAGGCTACTAGCAGCATCATTGGCCTTTGCCCACTGAGGACCCCCCTCTCTGGATTGTACCAGATGTTTCCAGACATTGCCAAAAGTCCTCTAGGGAACAAAGCCCATGTGCACACGACTCCCTCCCACCCACCCAACCTCCACGGAGAATCTCTAATCTCAAACTAATAACACAGTAAGAAAATAAACAGAAAAAAAGACAAAGGGCATCATACAAATATATTGACACAAAGGTAATCAGTAGAATAAAATTACAAGTTTTGATAAATACACGTATTTTTAAGGTAACCCCAAAAAATCATGTTTTGGAAAGAACCAGTAAATATGACAAATGAGCAAAGTAAACACAACATAAAATTATGTGACAGATTTAAGAACCAACATAGCCATGGTATTGTTACCTGTAACTAGGTAACTAAAATCTAAAAACAATTTTTAGATCAGCTCAAAAGGTAAAACTCAACTCTGCTATAACAAGGGGCATCTCTAAAACAAGGGAGTTAAAATGGCTCAAAGCAAAGGAATAAGAGGTGTGTCTCCCACATTGTCTGTATCACTCCTCTGTTGATGGACACTGGGTTGTTCTCTCCTGGCTGTTTTGAAGAGGGCTGCAATAAACTTGTGAATGCAGAGGTTTCTTTGACATACTGACCTCATTTTCTTTGGGTCTATACCCAGTAGTAGGATCCTCGATCATGTGGTAGTCCTATTTTTTATTTTTCCATGGAACCACTATACTTTTTCCACAATGGCTCTGCTAAATTATATTCCGACCAACAGGGTACAAGATCCCCCTTCTCTACCTCCTCACCAACACTTTCCTTTTGGATAACAGCCATTTTAACTGCAGCAAGATGATAGATCTCGTTGTGGTTTAAGTTGCATTTCCCTGATGATTAATGATGTTAAACAATTTTTCATGGACCTATTCAAGTCTGTGCTATTTTACAGGGGAAGAATATATAATCCCTACCTTATATGAATTATTCCAGAGAGGGGAGGGGGAAAAAAGGAAACCTTATTCAAACGTATAATAAATAAAAAATAAAAATTAAGAAGATGCAAAGTGATTAGTTGTGCAAAACTTCAACCAAAAACTGCATATAAGAACACAACAATATATAAAATTT